AAATTGAAGAAATACTTTGTTGCTTTCTTCTGCAAATACTAAGCAATTGAGTTGCTTATTATTTAGGTGCAATTGGAGCAATCTTCTAAGCTTTTAGAGTTTGGGGGCAAACAATGGGCGGGATTTGCTCAGGAGGAGCGTCCGCTAAGCGAAATATCGATATTAATAATGGAGGGAACACTTCGAGGTTTTCCGGGAAACTCAAGTCAATTAAGAGCTTCGGCAGGCAGAAAGAGAACTCAAATTCTTCATATCCTGACGCAATTGCCCCTCGTATAACACCAAACAGGTTTGATTCTGGCGAGCTGCGATCCTCAATTTCCCGCGAATTGAAGCCCTCAACCCCGGCTAGGACTGGGGATAGCAAGGTACCAAACAAGTTTTAATTTTGTTAGTTTTTGTTGCAATCAAGACAATGAATTTCTAGATTGTTTTCGTGAAATAAGTATTGATTGATGCATAGTTACTTATTTTTGCTTTAATTCTTGTGTTTTCTGTTGTAGGTCACCCCAAAGAACTCCTTCATAGGAAGAGCAGGCATTGTAGGCCTGGATAAGGCAGTTGAAGTTTTGGACACACTTGGCAGTAGCATGTCTAATTTGAATGTCAACAGTGGATTTCTTACTGGCGGCGCTTCTAGAGGCAATAGAATATCTATCTTATCGTTCGAAGTAGCTAATACAATCGCCAAAGGCGCAAACTTGTTGCAATCTCTTTCAGAAGAAAACATCCAGTTCCTGAAGAAAGAGGTTCTTCATTCAGACGCTGTACAAAACTTAGTTTCCAAAGATATGAAGGAGTTGCTAAGCATTGCTGCTTCTGACAAAAGGTTGTTGCTTGCTGTAGAGAATAGCTTGAATTTAGTTGAAGCAATTTATTCCCTCTTATTTTCTCAACTTTTACTTTCCTGGCCATCTGCAGGGAAGAGCTTGATGTCTTTTCCAGGGAAGTAGTTAGGTTTGGAGACCTGTGTAAAGACCCACAATGGCATAACCTGGGCAGATACTTCTTAAGGTGAGGCAAATTTGGGAGCTTATGCTATGATTATATTTATAACTTTTGCTAATTTTAATATGATCTGTGAAACCATATTTCAGATTAGATTCAGACGATGATTTAGGTTACACTCAGCTGAGATCAGAGGCAGAAATGACAATGCAGGAATTGACCACTCTTGCTCAGCATACTTCTGTAAGTTGCATTGATATACTTCTGGGTTTTCCTTTAATTTTATGTGTTTATGCAATTTTGGGGCATGCTGCATTAATGATTTATAACCTTTGAATTATATGATGTCTAATTAGTCTTTAAAGTACTTCTGCTTCATCATTTATCGACATTTCGCATTCCTCTCTCTACACTTGAATAACACTAGAATTTAAATATTGGATTACCTAATAAATCAAACTTGTAGAAGCTAACCTTTTAAACATTTGTAGGAATTATACCATGAGTTAAATGCTCTGGACAGATTTGAACAAGATTACCGGCGAAAGCTTGAAGAAGCAAAGGCTTTGCATCTCCCTCTTAGAGGTTATGGCATGTAATTTTTTTTTTTTTTTTTTTTTTTTTTTTTTTTTTTCCCCACTCCCGAGTTAAGTAAGAGCCATGTTCGCAATATTTGAAATTTGATTTAACTTAATAACACCATAACAATTTCTCGTTGCTCCCTTTGGAATTCGTTTTTCCAATTTATATTACACGCTACTGCAGTCACTACCTCTTGTCACAGGAGTCTGCCATTTATGCCGTACTTCACTTGCACTAACTTTGCTGTTGATACAAAAATGATAGTACCAACAAATAATATTTCTGCTACGGTTGGCAGTTAATTTTTACATTCTTTCACCTTATGTTATGCTTTTGTGGCCCCTTGTTTCCCCTTTTACAATCACAACAAAATGCATATAAGTTTGTTAGTGCTTATCAACTCCACTTTTACTGAAAAAATGCAGTGTCTGGATGAGCTTTTAATTTTGTTCTCCCCCTTGAATGCTTACTTTAATTGTTTAAGTGTCAGATTTTTTCTTGACACCTCTGAACAATAGCAATGCAGTAATTTATTAACAGGGAGTTCTCTTTGTAATTGTAGGAGAGAGCCTCATGATGTTACTCAGTGATTTAAAACAACAAAGGAAGCTTGTAAGGAGCTTGAAAAAGAAATCTCTTTGGGCTAAAAACTTGGATGAGGTACTATCGTGAACCACTTGTTAAATTTCTGAAAAGGATAGCTCTGTGAAATTTGAAAACCTTTTTCAACAGAAGGCATAATTATTTGCTACTATTTGTTTGAGCCAGCGCATGCTTATTCAAAAAATCGGCGACATTATTCAAAGTAATCAGCGGTTAAGCAATGTGTGCAATTGAAAGATATTGCTGCAATTATTCATTGTTTGCCTTCAACAGGACATGATAAATTTCATTAGAATTCCTTTTTTACTTAATGCTATCACATTATTTTTCCCTTTGCAGATAGTGGAGAAACTTGTTGATATTGTTACTTATACACATCAAGCAATCCTGGAAGCATTTGGAGATAATGGTATGAGCAACATCTCACAGTGAGATCAACAATTGATACCTGGATACATAGGCTTTAATGGATATACATGTGTTGCTCATAATAGATTTCTTCATCCTGCTTCAAGGAACTTTATGAACAACTCGAAATTGTTTATCACTCAGTCAATTACATCTTTACTCATCAGGTGTGACATTGATTAGCGTGGAGCGTAGCAAAGATCCTCAAAGACTAGGAGTAGCTGGTCTTGCGTTACACTATGCTAACATGATCAACCAAATAGATAACATTGTAAGCTTACTTCTTTATGTCCTTATATTGTGCGTCTTATAGAGTTGGTATAAATTTGCAAAATAGAATGTAATCTTAATCTTTAATAGGCGTCCCGACCTACCTCCCTTCCTCCAAATACAAGGGACACATTGTATCAAGGGTTGCCAAATAGTGTTAAGCAAGCTTTACGATCCCAATTGCAGACTCTTGATGCCAAGGAAGAGGTATTACAAAATGCATGATACATAGACATTTGTCCATTATTATTTATTGTAATTTTCCTCATGATGTTTGCATTTCTCTACACTTTGGAGCTTCAGCGTTTCAATTTATCACATCCCTTTCCCTATTGTGTTTTCTGCAGCTCTTGGTTTCTCATGTCAAAGCTGAAATGGAAAAGACTCTCCAGTGGCTTGTTCCAGTTGCCACAAATACGAACAAGTATGTTGTGTAGCATGTTAATTGGAAGCTGCTGTCATTGCTTTGCCTGTATTTGTTTTCATTCTTTTGAATGAAATTTTCCAACCAATTTTATGACTTATTGTCGTTTACTGTCTTGCGTTCACTCATGTCTGTTTTTCTGATGTCGCAATTTGTGGCAGAGCACATCAAGGTTTTGGGTGGGTTGGAGAATGGGCAAACTCTGGGTCAGTCAAGGCCTCTCTCTCTCAATATCTTCTGATACAATTGATATTGAAAGTATAAGATGCATCTCATCAGTAAAATGCATATGATGATTCTGATTTTAATTCTCTTTTGACAGACTTGAGTTTGGTAAGAATTCATCCTCTGAGATTAACTTGATCCGACTCCAGACGCTATATCATGCAGACAAGCAAAAGACGGATGTCTACATCCTTGAACTAGTGACATGGCTTCACCATCTGATCAACCTTGTAAGGCATGGAGATCATGGTGGTTTGAAGGCTTTGCCTATACGGTCCCCGACTCGTAGAGGATTGGATATTCACTCCAAGATGCAGGGATTCGTATCCAAGACCAACAGCACTAAGCCCCCAAGAATTCAACTTTCAGATGAAGATCGAAACTTGTTAGATGAGGTCCTTGGGAGGGTGAAAAGGGTTCCCGGAGTTAGTAAAAGTCAGGAATTTAGTATTGCCAAGAAGAAAGGAACTGGAGTTTGGGCTTTGAGCAAGAGCACTGGGAGTTCCCCATCAAGGGAGTTGAGTGCAAGAGGAAACTCGGATCAGACTAATGCCTTGGATGTTATGGATGGGATAGATTCAAGGTATTGAGAGACTTCAGTTTCAAATTTCCAATCACGCATTTGTTTTTCTTCTCAAAAATCCAATATTTAGTTAATCATATCCATTCCCTTCTGTATATATCTATATATATACATATTCAGGCGAGCTATTAGTTTTATTGTATATATACACCTGTTATGGTGGTTCCTAATTTTTTGTTATCAACATCAACATGGTAGCACCTATTTATTTATACATAGATGGGAATTCTTTTATACTGATGTTGCAATTGGCTAGCTCAACTTCAGGGTCTGTTTAAATGTAACGCCTGGCAAATTTTGTTGACAGAACAGATATTCTAATTTCAGCCACCCATTAGATAAGGATATATTCATACCACGAAGGAAGTTAAGGTTTCATCCAAAAATAATTGGCAATGAGAGTAGCCCAACTCTAGCTCTTGCAAAGTTTTCCAACTTTTCAATGTGGGACATTTTCACATTTACTTTCTCACATGCTCTCGCACGTGTGGTGAATTTTCAAGTCTAACATGTGGATAACATATTGAATGACATGGAACCTCAACTTTCTTCATAGTCTCAACTTTCTTTAGTATCAGAGTCATAGTCTCAAATTTCTTTAGCATCAGAGTCATAGTCTCAACTTTCTTTAGCATCAGAGCGAGTTGCCTGTGTGTGATTAGACCTAGCAATATTGTATACTACCCGTTAACACAACACGAATTCGCAAAATTAAAAAAATTAAAAATAAAAAAAAATCAGTATTTGGATATGGGTTATCGTGTCGCATTGCTATCATGTTGACCCGTTAACCACCCGATAAACTATCGTGTTGTGTCTTGTCAATTCACGACTATCCGTTAACCCGTTAAGCTCAAGGGCCTTTTTGTAAATTTATATATATATCTCTTCTCTCTCTCTCTCTCTCTTCAAAACTGACCAACCTTTGTGCTCTATTCTTCTCTCAACTTGAGAGTCTCAAGCAGCCACCACACCACTCAACCACCTTGAGCCATCCCAGCCACCTCCCCCATCTGTCTCCTTTCCTTGCCGATCGATCCCACCTATTCCCTCACCTTCTCCAATGACTCTTCCTCCTCCACTGGATTTGGCTTCCATGAAGGAAAGCTCATCGAGCTCATCTATTGAGGGGGGTCTCATACTGTTTGATTTTATTTTTATTTTTTGCACCGGTTGATTTTTTAATTGTTTGAAATTTATGTTTATGTTTTTGTTTATTTGTTTATTTGTTGATTTATTTATTTATTTAAATTCTTAATGGATTATCATATCGTGTCGTGTGATTAGCGAATTGTAACGGGTTGTGTTCGTGTTTGAAATTTTCAATCCGTTTTCTTATCATGTTGTGTCAACCCGTTAAGAAAAACGGATTAACAAGAAAACGACAGGAATGCCAAGTCTTATGTGTGATCCGGCCATTAGATAGATAGACTAATAAGAAAATCCATTCAATGCTTTTTGGTTGCCCGTGTTTGAGATAAAAGCATTTGAACTGACGATACTTTGTTGTTACCCCCCAAAAAAATTAAAAAGATCTGCCCCAGCTATTTGTTTTCTGGTTAAGCAATTAAAAACAAAAAATTATTTTTCAAAACAAAAAAGAAAAAATTATTAAAACTGAATTAGTGTTTGGTGTTTATTGAGAATAGGGATCAGATGGTACAATGATTAGGGTGCCCAATTGTCGTAACCAGGCTTTGGGGCGGACACCCATCTCTCGCATAATTATTGCGAATGCTGACCACTCATCACATCCCGTTTCTGCCTGAAGGATCATGCTTTCTTTAGTCTTCCTTTCGTCCTTTTATACAACCCATTTCGACCCCTCTTCTATCACCACGTCGATGTGGGACTGCTCTCTTTCTCTCTCTCTCTCTCTCACCCCGTGTGATCCACCTATACTCTCTCTACTTACTCAAACTCATGCGTATCTTGTTCCACTCTATTTTATTTAACTGGAGGCGAGATCCATATTCCACAGATCATTTAATTAAGATGGTGAGAAAAAATCCGTAGTTCTACAAGATTTTAGTTCGTCGTGGAATGAGATTTTGCATCAATTAATCAGGACATGTACAACAATACAAAGTTAATTTAAGCTCTTCCATTCCACCAGGTTTCAACTATGATTTACCTACTGAGATTAGTGTAAAAGGGAAACGAACTGGGAGGGAGCTTCATATATCGTATGCATAATTACTAATAACAACAATAATAATACCTCTTCTTCCATTAATTCTCCGCAGCCTTCTGTGGTACCTCCTCACGGTCCACATTCCTCGAGTGTTCCACCACAACACTAAACCATCAGTTCAAATGTAATTTTTAATTTTTTTAATACAAGAGATTGTCTAAATTACAAGAGGAGAGGAGTTTCTTACACATACTCTATCAAGATACCATGGAAGTTCAATCTTGATGAGACCACTAGTTTGCAAATCATTATCATTTTCTAATAGACTAGACCGCATTGAGGAACATCTTTTTAAATTGTTATACACATACGTACAATTCAATTCACCAATAGAGTGTTAGTTGAATTGGCTCAAGCTTTTAGTGTGCTTCTAAATGGTCATGAGATCAAGTTACTATGGTACACATGTGCGTGAGTTTCCCCTACCCCTTCCTAACTATGCCCCCAAAAAAACATTGAATGAAAAAACAAATAAACAAACATTGACGTGTTGATGTTTAGTTTGGGCCTATAGAGTTTTGGGTTGGCAATTGTTCATCCTAGTAGGCCTAAATGTGGAACAAATGTTTCTTAACTTAAGCCCGTCAGTGATCTACGTGGTGGGGTCTCATCTCATGGATTCTACAAGGGAGATTTTTATTTTGTGTCTAGTAAAAGCAGTGATCGGTGATTTTTGCTTCATCATCACTCACACACTTTACCAGCTTTCTGACACGTCGCACCGCTCAAATTTAATTGCGGCACATCTTCCGCTGCCTAGCTATTGAACATAAAAAATTATGGAACAAGACACACACAGCGCCACGACAACCACCACAGCCACAGACTCAAACTGAAAGTATATTCAGAGAGAGACAGAGGGGGAGGGGGCGCAAACTATGAGTCAGTAAGTTATATTATCGAGATAAATGTTGGGGTTCCTCACGTGCGGGGCTTCGGCTTTGGGGATCAGAATCAGATCACAAATGTTATCAAATTCCTCGAATGCATAATTCAGTGCTGTCTTACTCGTCTTGTAGATGCATCTTCCTTTTTAATGAAAGCATCGATCCATCAAATACATGTTGCTGCTAGCTTCATTCTGAGTCAGAGTCCATCACTCCCACCGCCCATTGTCTCCTTACTCAACACCCGTCCATCCATGAACATGCTTTGCTCTTTCAAATGAATGCTACGTTAGATGATGGTTTTTTTCTTTCCACTGTTTGTCAACCCATTGTTTTTCCTTATATAATCATTATATGAGTCAACTACGTTTGAATATTATTATTTTATTTCTCAAATGCCCTTCCTCTATTATGTAGCGTAGCCAATAATTAAGCTAACATTTCAATGTTAAAGCATCAATTATGAAATGAATTATTAGTAATCATAGTGCCTGCATTTGCCCTGATTTCTACTAAAATACTAACTTTTGTAGTACAATATGACCGACCAACACATGAAAGCCAATCCTCCCACAACTTGCATGTATGTGATTTTAAGTGGAATTCAATTCTATAATGACACTTTCCCACTATGTATCCTCTCAAAAGTCCCTACCCCATGATATACAAGTTTTTCTCCACATTCTTCATGTTAAAGAAAAATGTGAGCCTCCCAACATAATTTCATTATCACTAATTAAATAACAATATTTTATTATTTTAAGTTCAACTCATTCGAGACATAGTGTCTCTTAATTACAATCTCTTACTTCAAGAGAACACTATTTGATTCCATTATAAAGAAACAAAACGTGTGTGTATGTTTTGCAGCTGCCCCTAAGTCGAATCTCATGGTGTCTATGTATCCTTTGTGGGAATCAGGTCATTCGTAGTTCAAAGAATTGCAATGAATAAATGACTCATTGCAAGGAAAATTTGATTTGAATTGTATCGAGTGAATTTAGCTTAATAAACCAGGGATTTGATTTTGAATTGTGTTTGGGGCGAATTTGGTTAAGAATAAACCAGGAATTTTATTAAGATTTGGGCAGTTGCATCTAGATTGAGTCTCTATACTGCCTACGTACCCTTTTGAAAGGACCAAACCAACATAGTTCGGATTGATTTGTGTGGAGATGGATATTTGATTTGTGAGAATTTGGTTGATGTAACCAGTGATTCAAAGTTGGTTGCGGTTGCGTCTATTGGGATGCTAGACTGCCTACGTACCGCTAACATGATCAAACCAACGTAGTTCGGAATTAATTTGGAAATTAATTGGTAAGTGTGGTCCAATAATTTCAAATTTGTGCCTTTGAGACAATTTGGAGATTTTCATATGTATATGACCCATAGGAAAATTGGAAATTAATGGGTAAGTGTGCCCATTAATTGAGAATTTGTGTTTGAGATATTTGAATTTAATCTCATTGAAATTTGCATGGGTAGATGACCCATGAGAAAAATTGGATGGTTTAGTATCATTTTTCTTATTGTCAATGTCCAAGAAAAATAATGAGCAATTTTGATGAACCTACTAATTTTCTACAATTGACATTTGCATTTGGACCCAAGTATCGCTTTGAGGATTTTAAAATTGATCCATTAACCATATAATAGGCAATTTAGGCCTCTGTAAATTGAATGGGTAATTATTTGAATCACCTATTAAATATTTAGGGCTTTTGAGAATTAATTGGCAAATATTTTTAACAACCTATTAATCTATTTCGGGCCTTTATATTTGTAATCGATTAGCAAATTAAAAAGGAGTCCAAATCATAAAGACTGCGGTTGGCAGCTATCAATTGAGCCAAACCAATAGCTGCCAAACTCTTCTAGAGTTTGCTTGCAACCAAGCTTGCAACTCCTATATGTACCCGGAGTAGTTGAGATCAATCCAAGTTGTAACACTCCCATGTCCATATGGAGAACTTGAGATTAACTCAAATATCTCACCATAAATTTTCGACCTTTTAAAAGATCAAATAAAAGCTTTGAGAAAAGTAAATAATTGATGCACAATGGGCCGCGAGAGAAACCAACAGACAAGTTTGCCCTTTTTTTTTAACTTCCCCTTTTTCTTTTCTTGAGAGAGAAGTAAAGGATATCAAGAATGGACCATGCGACATGGCTCCCACAACTCCATTCTTTTCCTTGTTCTAACACAGCAACACAAATTCAAAACCTTGTTGCCATCTCTTCTTGTTTCTATACAACCCAATTTGGGTTTCTCCTAAAGCCATATGCCCTTAACAATTTTTCCTTTTTTTGTTTTGTTTGTGTTCTTTCTTGTTTTCTTGGAAGGTAGCTAACTTCTTTCTTCTTTTTCTTTTGATGGAGTGCACTCAGATAGAAAAAGAAATTAATGCAGCTTTCTCAAACAGAGAGGGAGATAATTGGTCAGAGTGTCCAAGAGGTAGAGGTATAACCCCCTTTTTTATTTGCATATACTACGGGAATAGACCCCAGCACCTTTGCTTCATTCGTCAAATTTTTTTTCTTCTTCCTTACTGCACTTGGTGGTAGAGAATTAACTTCTCATTTTTCATTTGCAGCTTATTTAGGCAGAGAGAAAAAGAAACAACAGGACGAAAGTAAAGACCCATTTTATTTGCTAACTGTCATAGATCTCTAAACTTTTTTTTTTTTCAAGACAAGCCTAGAATTTCTTTCATCCGCAAATGTTTTGGGTTTCTCACCCATGTGGATTTTAACATCCAATTAATTTCGGAGTTACTCACCCATGAATTTGCATCCAAATAATTTCGAGGTTACTCACCTATGGATTTGCATCCAAATGATTTATAGGTTTCTCACCTCATGGCTTTATGGCATGCTATGCCCAACACAGAAAAGAAAATTGAGATGACAGTATGCATATAGCAATTTTTTTCCTCTTCTTTGTACTGTTCTAATTTCTCTGTTGGTTTTTTTTTTTTTTTTTTTTTTTTTTTCTTTCTTGTCTCTCCTTCTTCCCCTTTTCTTTTTCTATTGTAACCTTTTTATAGGCCAACTGGATAAGACTTCCTCAGGCAAACAACACTTTTGAATTTCAAATAAGTGCTGATAGGATTTAGCCTCATTTTTAGGCCTATTATCTTATACATCCACCATTTTGAAACACAATACATATCCCAAAATTTTGAAAACACATGTTGGCTTGCATTTATCATTTACTTTTTAAAGAAATTATATAATTTACTTTGATGATTTTTTTATCTCAACACTCCCTCAAGAATTCCCTTCAATTTGAATCTACAATTGTTAATATACTTTGATAATATGCTATATACCTACTATTAGCACATCTACATGGTTAATGTGCCAAGTTTTTAAAATATTAACATAACTATGATACTTACTAGTGTATCTAATTGTTTATTTCTTCTTATGGGTTTTCGTATTCTTATTCGTTTTGATAAAGTTTTTTTTTTTCTCTAAATTTTTTAAAAACAAGCTATAATCTAAACTATAAGGAAATGAAAAGTTTATCACACACATTATTAAGATACTACGGAAGTTCGAACTTGAAACAAGGGGTCTGCAAGTAAAGATCCTTTTTCCACCAAACTAGACTCCATGTATATATTTTGTTTCCAACTACATACTATGATTTTAGGTATATCATACTTAATTATTATAATAATTAGGTATACTAAATCGATGTAGGTATATTATTCTTTTCCGATTAGGTAGTCTGGCTTAAGTAATATATTATGCTTAAATTATATATCATCACTTAATATTTAAGTTTCTAGCATGTTTACTAATCCATAATTGGATTATGAGGAATTGAATTGAGGAGGACTCGGATTGAGAAGAATTAGATTATGGATTCCTATTAAAGTTGTTTACTAAACCATTTAGATTGAGTAGAGTTAGATTTCGGATTCTTATTGAAGTTGTTTACTAAACCATATGGAATTGGGGTATGAGTGGTACTAATTACTAAAATGTCCTCGTTATTGGGTTAAAGTAGATGGCAAATTTGGAATTTTGAAAATTGTGTGAGGATATAATGGATAAAAAAGATAAATTCCTAATGGGTTAGTTCTATAAGAATTAGAATACCACATCCCACCCAAGAATTGAATTCCTCTAAAATCAGGAATTCAATTCCTAATTTTGTGTATACCTCACTTACTTTTCAATTTTTTGATGTGAAGTAAACGCAGGAATCCTCCAAAGGTAGAATTCAATTCCTGATGAGAATTTCAATTCCTACTAGTGAAACAAGTAAAAAGAAAATCCAAAAAAACCGTGTTGACTAAAAAAATCAACTTAAGCTCAAAAACCAAACCAAATCGCTTTGGATAAGTTCCTGTCACGATCATTGTCTTGGAAAAATCGATATAAATCGACCGAACTGGTTATATTAAGTTTAAATCTTCATTTATATCCAAATTTATTAATAAGCCTAATCAATATTCAAATGAAAGTAATATCCACAAAGCTGACTGCCGGAAAGCTTTACTTTTTGGAGTAGTTGAATCGGGAGCAAGAGTTGGTGTGAGTAGAAATGGGATAAATTTAGACACGCCTTTGAGGTACCCATAACATAGGAGCAAGTTGGGTTGCGCGATAAACCTTTTTTGGAAGAAGGCCTTCTGCAGATGAGGAATTGGACAAAAGTGTTAAACCACTTTGTTCATGCCCTACGGTCTAATAAATGTCTAACAAAGTGGGCTAAAAAAGCTGATCTTCCCCTAAGAGCGGAAATCCGTGGCACAAGAAATTAAGTCGTCCAGGTTTGAAGCAGGAAGCATGCATTTAGGTTGAGAGGGAAAGTGGTTCATTTAGCTTTACACTTGGCTTGGTAACTCAAATGTAATATCTATAAATTTTAGCCCAATTAATACTCCAATGTCTTAGTTCCAACTTATACCCAACTTAATAACTACTCAAGCTTGATTTCTTTTTATTTTCGGTGAACCATATCTGTTCTTTTTATTTTCCTTCCTCATACCTTTCCAAGCTATAAACATCATAGCCTTCAAGCCTAAAGCTTTTCCTTCCATCATCATTCTCTTGAAACTCTTAAATCACCATAGCCATAGCCACAAACAACAAGTTCTCAACACCCAAACACAAGCATATCCAACACCAAGCCAAGCACATGCATTCTCATTTGCTAAACTTGTGGGTCTTTGGTTCTCACACTCCAAGCTCTCATGCCAAGCTCACACAATCTCGATTCAACATCAGCAAGTCATCTTCAACCATCCAGAGCACGACCAAGCAATTGTCAAGCTGCTGGAAAATCTACTCAAGCCACTTATCTATTCATCCATACATATATATATATAAATATATATATATATATATCTCTCTCTCTCTCAAAATGCTCCATCCCAAACTTGAAACACCCATAATCTCAAGCTAAGTTGAAACCATAGTCATCACATTCTTGGTAAGAAAATGCAGACATTGCAAGCTCATCGTCTGGCTGCTGAAAACACCTAAAATCTCAAGCTTTAATCCTTTCTTTTATGCTCATTTTCTCTTATCTCTTGCGCCACAAGTCTCTCAAGCCAAGTCTAAGTAGTATCTTGATTCACTAAAGCAAACTCTCATGCCAAGCTTGTGCAACATCAATGCACCATCTCAAACTCTTCGTCTCGCTGCCAGGAACATCAGTACAAAACACGCAGTCGGTGGAAGAAGAACAAAGTACTCCCTTGGGACTTGCTTCTCCCTCGGAATGCTTTGGACCTAGTTCTTGCTAACTCAAAAAAAATGGTAACGAATGCTTGATTCACCATTCTATGGCGTTCCAAGAAACAACAAGCCCGAACGAGCCTTCTGACTGAAAAAGACCCCAACAATTTATGAGTATTTCAAACCTTTAATTAATGTTAACTATTTTTTATATTATTTTCTAGTAGAGATGGACCAATTAAAAGAAAGTTTTAACATTTATGACTCTCTAAACTAGAGAGCATGATTGGAATTCAAATTTTATAGAGAGCTCCAAAAATAATATTTATATATTTTTAACCTAATTTTAATTAAAAAATAAAAAGCATGATTGTGAATACTCTTATACATATAAATATGTAAAATAAATAGGTATTACAATGAATGGTAGAATCAAATCTACTGTATTTGTGCAAATAAATTACTTATATCTAACGAGTAACCCACAAAAAAAAAAAAAAAAAAAAAAAAAAAAAAAAAAAAAAAAAGAAAAAGAAAGAAAGAAATTTGTTTAAAACTGCCAGCTGGGTTCGAGTCACAGTCAGTCTCTGTCGTTGACGTGGCTTTAGTCTTATCCTGTGAACCTATGAAGCTCGACAGGAACGTACTTAGGTCTTATCCTAATTTAATTTGAATTTTCCTGTAGAATATGGATGAGCCCATAAAATAAAAAATTATATCATACGTGGTGGTCATTGCCATGGGCATTGGTCACGCTCATAGTCATACATGATGGATGGACCACAGACTTCCAAAATCTGATGTGGATGGTCCAAATCCAACTTGAATATTAAAGAAGGGTGGGTGGGTCCCATACATACTGCCGTTGTTTCCGCACGTCGGTAACGCTTAAATCCACATGCCGCCGAAGTGGGTCGCCCGTCGTTTACATTGCTTTACAGTGGTTGCGCCGTGGTTGGGTGGGCTATACCATGTGGGCCTCTCCTCGCTGCCTCTTGCCTGCCTTCCAATCCATCCATCTCAACAAACCGCGTTCTTCCAAAACTTTTATTTATTTTATTTCCTTAATTGACCTTTTTGCGCTTGTTCGTTGGTTAGTTTCAAACTTAAATACTTTTTACATGATTAAATGTAACTTAGAAAGATGGACAAGTGTTTGATAAGATATATGTTTTTCCATATAGCTTGCCCATTTTATCATTTTGGTTTATAATTGGTCAATGTATGAGTCCATGTTCCAGCGTACGTGTTGTAGGCGTTTGCCATCCTGCTCATACATACAAAATCTAGTCAAATGCCAAGCCAAACATTCAAACCAACAAAGCAGCAGCGACATGTGCTGTCTTAGATTCCTGGACAATGCACACCGACGTTTCGCTGAGTCAGCCCAGTACAGATACCACTGGATAAGCCTATACTCCAGTTCGTTAACCCACCCCATATTTAACCATGGTTTGTTTACCTTATCCGCCTTTTGTCCGCCCATCGTTTATAAAATCACAAATCCCCCCACCGCTCCATTCATTCATAATTTCGTCAGCAACACAAGACAACACAAACACAAACTCAAACTCTTCCTTTCCTCCAATCAAATTTCAAAGATTTTGAAAATGACTTCCATCTCATCCTCATCCTTCACTTGCTCCTCCCCTCTTTTCTCCGCCGCAGGATTTGTCAACGACGGCCCTCATTCTCCTCCCTCCTCCATCACATACCGTCCGCTTCGCGTCTCCGCCTCCTGCACATCCACCGTCGACAGGCCACGCACCCGTACTGGATCAAGCTCCTCACTCTACGAGGTACTCGGGATTCACACGGGCGCCACGAGTCAGGAGATCAAGTCTGCTTACCGTAAGTTAGCGAGAGTCGTGCACCCGGACGTTGCCACTGACGGTCAAACATCGGCGGACGAGTTCATGAAAATCCACGAAGCTTACTCCACTCTCTCTGATGCCCAAAAGCGCGCGGATTACGACCGCATGATGTTGATCAGACGGCCACGCTCTTCTTATTCGTACGCAACAACAATGTCAGCGTCGGCAGCTGGCCGGAGATGGGAAACCGACCAGTGCTGGTAGATTGCAGACATTTACATATGGATAAATCATTAATTAGAACAAGCTAATTAATTTAATTAGGGGAAATTAATCAACAGGAAAGGCTGCAGCGGTGCCTGTCTGTTTGATGTGATGTGACAAACTGCTAGCTAGCCTCGAGCTTTTGTGTGTACATAAAATATCTAGCTAAGATCCTTGTACTGTAAGCTGAAGGCGCCATTTTTTACAGCCTGAAAATCTGGGTATTTGTATTCCCCCAATTTCATATCAGCTTGTGGCTTGTAAGTTGTGAGAACTACTTTTGGGATGAATCATTTTTATGAAGATAAGTTTTTTCATTATTTTCAATCTATATTCTTGAATAAATATTGAACAACGGAGAGAGGATGCATAGATAAATAAATAAATAACTACACCCTAGCAAATTGCAATGGAAAATAAAAACTTTTAATTCAATTTTGGTTATTTATTTAATTCGATCATGGAAATTGATACTATGGCCGTATGATGAGAGCCCAACTGAAACATGTTTGAACTCTTTAATAATGGGCCGGGCCGTAGCTTTACTCATATGATTCAATTTAAAAGAAAAGGAGAATATAAGTAAGTTATATTATACAGTGGTGTGGTGTGGTGTGGTATAGCAACAAGCTGCACGAGGAAAAAAGGGGGAGCGATGGCTCAAGTGGGACGGCTTCTTGTAAGGCAATGGCCGATGCTGCAGCAGCATTCCTCTACCTTCCACCATCTTCTCTACTCGCCTTTACTTCCAGTAAGCACCAAAACTGGTTCCCATCGTTTCTCTTTGACGAAAGTGCACTTGGCTACTCGCGGCGTCCATAAATTGTTACGCGGACTCAGACCCTCCGACTACCAAGATGCTAACATCGGCAGTTCGGGTTCGGGTTCGGGTTCGGATTCGGATTCGGTTACATATAAGAGCCGCAACGAGTTGAAGCGCCACGCCCGCCGTGCGGTCCGCTGGGCTATGGACCTCTCCTCCTTCTCCACCCCTCAAATCAAACGCATTCTCAGGTAACTCAAAATTGAAAAATTTATTCATTTATTTTTAAAATTAGCTATAAGCTATTTTAGTCTGACGTATAATTACGGTGTTCGGGATGGTAGAGTGGCTTCTCTGGACCAAGACGTGCTGGATGCTCTGATTCTAGTGAAGGTGCCGCCCCTGTAATTGAACTTTTTGGTTAGTTTATTCTTGGCTGTTTCAGACAAGTATTAGCTAGTGATTTGTTTGTTGAAGCTAAGCTGTTTGTGTTATTGTCGCAGAAATTTGGACCTGATGTCCGAGAAGGGAAGCGAAGGCAGTTCAATTATATTGGTATGTGCAAAAACTTTGTGCCGTGCCTAGAAATCAAATTAGGCTTCAACTTTCTTATGTAAATGAATCGAACTCCTATGCTGTTATGTTTGAGCAGTGCTTTTTTCTTTTTGAGTTTCAAATTGGCAACTGTTAGTCATGAACAAGTCAAGTCAAATGTTAGTAACAGAAAACTTGAATCTGTTTAAGCCAATCAGTTCTTGCACCTATACGTTCTGTGATCTTATCTTTACCCAAGTGCATTCAATTTGTGTAAAGGAAAAATGCTGCGAGACATAGAGCCGGATTTGATGGATGCTTTAATTCAGGCTACAAAAGACAGTGACGAAAGTAAGCTGCAAGCTTTATCTGGTCCAGAGACGTTGAGCATTGATGATAATGAGGAGGAAGAAGAAGCGGAAGAAACTGATTTTGAGGAGGAAGAAGATGTATGATACAGATACTAAGTTTGAAACTGTGCAACAAAGTTTGCTGAAGCTTCCTAAGTAGTTTACAGACATATTTAATCTTATTATTCGAGCATCGATTGCAGGGTTCTCACATTGATGTAGCTACCAGATGGTTTGACGGTCTGATCAAAAAGGACGTTCAGATCACCAATGAAGTATATTCAATTTCGAATGTTGAGTTTGACCGCCAGGTAAGTTTAACGCCATGCTTGCTATTTTTAAGTTTGGTTAATTGACTTTCCACTAAAAACCCCTTCATGAGGGCACTAGCATGCGCTTGAACCACCAGCTTATGTTCTTTGAAGCCCAGCCAGTTCATATTCACTTAAGTCAGTCGATTAAGTCTCATACCAGTTGTTCTAGCGTCCTAAGGGATCATTGTTTCTGTTTATTGCTCTTTGTTTCTAATGTTAGCCTCACTTACAGGAATTGCGAAAACTTGTCCGTCGAGTGCATTCAGGTTTGGAAGACAAAGTCAATTCAGAGGAGAATGGGGGAGCGAAAGATGCAGCGAGAGTGAGTGCTGAAAAGTCACTCGCCAGGTTCCTTCGTTCCCTTGCTAAAAGTAGCCTAGTGATTGATATGTGAAGTTTTAATTTCTATCATTTTTTTGGGTGCAATTACGTTATATTTATTGAAGAATGAAGTTGTTTGTTTTCTTGGCTGTACTTTGAGTTGTGCAATTTTTATTTTTAAATTTTCGCAGAATCATACCGCCTAGTCTTAACATTAACGTAGTTGTTTGGAAGTAGTCCAAGTTGGTTCATAAAATTGTCACACAGCAAAGTATTCCTAGTTTGTAGTTAGCCACCACAGGCAAAGGAGTTGAAATTCATAGGTTATACGGGCATGGTGCAGACGGTGTTGCCCATTATCTTCCATTTAAGTTGTACAAAATCATTTTCTAGCAGTTGACCCAGAATTGGAATGAACTTGAGTAAGTTTGTATTGCCTTATCTCTTGATTCTGTTCTAGTGTCCTACTACTGCTCGTAAATATTTGACGTTGTCCACTATATTTTAACTGGATGAACAATGAACTCTACTTCAGGCTGGCTCTACTTGGTTGACTATTAAAAGTTGTCACGGTTCAATCTTACTGGTTGAATTCATGCTGGGAGTTTTGCCTTCAAAACAATGGATTTGAGTTGAAATCATACGAAAGCAGGGGGTTTAAAAAAACAAAACTGTGTTTGTACATGTATTGAGTAGGCATGCAGGATCTTACTCGGTACTGTAGACTCTAGTGAAGAGCCGGATGGGTTAAAATAAAAAAAATTAATGGTCGTACTCGTGCACATCGTACAAGGCCAGACCCTGCCACCGGCTAACTTACGACTTTGGGCTTTTGTATGTGGGCTTCATATTGAAGACGTGGATGGAACCAAACCAACCCACCCAAGCAAAAAGCCTTTTGGTTAGATTATTTGTCAGAACATCTTCTTAATTAATTACTAGTTCCCTTGGAGGGTCAGGCCAATTTTGGTCATCAAATAGTTGATGAGAAAGGGGAAGGGAGGGGAGGGGACAGAGAATAGGATAAAAACACCAGTGTGTGTGGCCACAAGGACACTAGAGAATGTAAGCTCAGGTCCAATTCTAGGACGCGAATGAGAAAGTAACGTGGAGGTTTGTCATGTCATGATATGATAGACAAGAACAAGGTTGGGTGTGCGAATAAGCAACCCCTCGTCCCTCTCCCTCCTGCGGGCCGCGGCTGCCTTGCATCACAAACACAATAATGATAATAATGGTGTTTTGTGTAATCAACTTTGCTTGCTTTTTGCATCAGCTGATTTGATATGATTTATTATTTTTAGGGGGGGTGGGGGGCATCCACGTCAATGCTTTTCTGACAAGTTGTTATCGAATTTCACTCACTTGATTAAAATCCCACAAAGCAAATTTAAAGTGCGTTTCAATCAGCTGATGATGGAGTATGTTTTCCCAAGTTGTAGCAACTGACGGAAGCTCTTGGATAAATTATCTTTTTAAGTACATTCATTTATAAGAGGGCACTCACTCAGCGGTTTGAGCATGTTGGGCGAATGTCTGTACATTGCTTTCAGTATACCACAAATTGCAATATATTTTCCGATGACTAAAGAGACCCTTGTGTATGATATTATTGTGTTTGACGGACGGACAGACAGTCAGAATTTCTTATGCACATACCAAGAAAAGTGGCAGTACGATACAAGATATTTTTTTTCTGACAAAAAAGGAAGAAGATATTTTTTTTAATTAAGAAACAGAAAAAGAAAAAGAAGAAGATATTTGTTTTTGGTCAGAAAAACTATCGTTAGGAAAGTTGCTGTTTAGTAGGGAAGGAGCTGTCGGATGTCAGCTGGATTAGCTACTTTCTGATGATAATCAATGAGGATTGCTTTATATTGTGAGGTGGTCCCTAATAATCCCGTCGACATGGGGCATGAACATGGGCATGGACTCGGACACGGACTGCAAGCTCCATCCATAGGTTGCACTTAAGAATTTAGACATTAGAGACATTACAGAGGCATTAGAATTCTTGATTATGAAGTGATTTTAGAGCCCACTGACTGACTTAATCTGCACAGACGTGTTGTTCGTTGTTAATTGTTGGATTGGACCCCCGTGATGTGAGGGCAACAAAACTGTGTAAGGGATAAGACAAAAGGAAACTACAGTCTGCAGTCCCCTATTAAGTAAATTTAGGTTTTAATCATAAAAAAACTTTCATTTTTGAAAAAAGTTAAAACTTTTTCAATAAAAAACAAAAAAATCCCTCAACTTTCAATCTAAAAACATGCAAATGTAAAAGATTTTTTAGGAAATCCAAAATAAATAAGGGCATTTTTGTCCATTTTGGCTTCTGTTAAAAATATTTCTCTCTTTGACCTTTTTCAAAATGTCCCTAATATTTATTAATTTGAGAGGGAAATTAAGACTTGGAAGACAGAAGAGAGAAGAAAAACAGAATATTCCAATAATGCATGCTTTTGTTCATAACACGGAAAAATAATTTTAAAAAAATGAAGTAGGTAAAACGCTTGTAAGATGAGATTTCTTCAACTGAATCTGTGATGATTCACATTAACACCTTGATTTACTGTACCTCAATCAATTGCAAATTAAAAGAATAGAATTTGATTTGACCCACACCCAGCCGATCAAGTAAGAATAAGATTAGCCAGCAGCCCTCCCATCTTGCTTCTCAACTCTTTAAATGGCGTGCTGTGACAGATATCTAACTTGTAAATGCAGAAACATGCTAAAGGGAGCTAGTCCGGTCTAAGGTGGTGGCTAGGAATATATGCATTTATTTATTTAAAATACACAAACATAGTTCAGTTCCTCTCCCGGGGAGTGGGACTGTAGTCTGTATGTAGGAGGAGAAGTCAATGAAGTATCTGCAAATATATACTTGATCGTGATGGATATTTGTTATTTAGTTGAATAAATCTGATAACATATTTTCCAACTCCAAGGGCTGCTAGATAGATATTCATACTAGTCTTCTTTTTTCAAATGAATCGTTTTCTGGTACCACCATTCTTCCTTGGAGGAGGGAGTGGAACATCACGACCTACTTGTTTGAAAATTATTGCTATATATGAGCAGCTGAACGATCATGTGGGTTTCTGAGAGACAGTGTTTGGGAAGTTGAAGCTAACCTTAACTGCATGCTTCTTTCTTTTTCTTGTAATTGGACGTTGGCCGCAGATTGGTCAACTTATAGATAGATCGAATTAGAGAAGAATTTGGTGAGACAATGTTGACCCTCCTATGCTATTAGCTATCCTATCCATGAGTGTCAAACACTACCAGAAGAAACGTGCGCTCGTCACTCACTCGGTATAAATTCTCCGGCTGCTCTTGACAAAGGTCCATTTCCATCGCCATACGACACTTTTATTCATATAATAAGAGGATTTCATAAAATCTGTGGGAAAACAAACAAACATGTACATGTGTTAAAAACGATTTAATATTTTGTTTTGTAACCATCTTACTCTTACGTTGCTTGCTAATTTGGTTCGGGGATAATAGACTTTCGGATTTTCTTAGGGAGCTGATTTTCCCACTCATCTTTTATTCACTTACAATTCATTTGTTAGAAATTGTATGTTCTCACTACTCTTTTGTCCACTTACACTCTTTTTTTTTGTTACAGTAAAAACTATTAAAAAAACAAAAGGGAGTGTAAGTGGACAAAAAAGAAGTGGGAAAATCACCACCCTCTTTTTATTGTTGAGCAATTTACAAATACCAAAGTATATTACGAATGATTTTATTTGGAAAATCATTGCTTATAGTTTCTAACTAACCTCTCAATTTGCATATTGTCACTAGAGGCATATTCTCTTATTCTTACGTAGGTTGGTGGTGAGGGTGACCCAAACCAAAATCTTAAAATTAAGAGGTGTAGGGATTTTGTGCTCTCTCTCATTTTATTTTCTTAATTAGCGAAAAAATAAGCCAAGACACTCGTTTCACATTTTGAGAGAGCACATGGACATTTGGTCTTGTCAGTTGGTTACCTATCAGCTGTCATCCTTAATATTTCTCAGATTTTTATCATGTTGTATAAGTTTTTCAATAATGCTATAGGCATTAATTTTTCGTTACTAATTTACGTGTTATATGACATATCCATACATGTCACATGCTACATCTTTTTTATTAATTTTCTTCATTATTGTTTCTGCCAAGTTATACCAACATCTTCTAACTGAAAAAGAAAAATCATTGTAATGACTTTCATTAAGCTACACCGCCACAATTGATTTCAACAATCAAATGTTTCTCTCTCTTCTCCTTTACTCAGTTCTTCCTGTATCATTTGGCTTTTGATCGAAGGAAGATAAATAATTCACAAGGAGCCATATAATAACCATCAAGCTGGCTTGATCCCAAACTTTCAAGTCTCGTTCATTGTGGGTGTGGCCCTTGAACTTTGTATATTGTCACTTTCGATGAACTTGATCAAGAAAAGAGTGGAGGTCTTTTCACCCAAATCTGGGCAAATGCTCTGTTGGAAGAAGTAATACGATTATCTCATCTATCATCTTCTCCATCACATTGTAGTGTCATATGGCCTCAAATAAACTTGTGATTTCCGGGACAGCAAAAGAGAAAAGCCATATCAAATCTATAGACGTTTGTCAATGACGGATATAGTACTGCAGCGATGACAGTGGTGCGGCTAGTATGATATTAGGGTTTGGTTGTTAAACTAATTAATCAAATAAAATTGAAAAACATAAAAAGCTAATTAAATCAAACAGTCCCGATTTCTTAGACTACAGGGGTCCAAGAGATTTGTGGTCACTCACCGTTGGATGTAAATTCAACGGTTCACTCACTCTTGCACTCTTTTTAAGAAACTTTTTTGAACCGTTAGATTAAAATCCAATGGTGGGTGACCACAATCTCTTCGATCTATTAGCTGTTAATGACATGGCAATAAAAAGTTAGTGTTTAAGTTGGTGCCCGTAGAATTCCTATAAGTTTTAGGCTTCCATGAAATGTAACTGACGGTTGGAGATAATATTGGGGTGAAAGGGAAATAAGGTTTTTTTTACCCCAAAAAAAAAGAGGAAAGGGAAATAGGTTTTTTTGAAAGTGCGGCAAAATTAAGAAAGTGAGACAATACTCCTATTCCTATAAGGGAGATTCACTAGTAAGTTAGTAAGAACTTGCTTTCCAAATATTACTAGGAAAGTAAGAAGGGGCTCTTCCGTTGCTGCCTGCCTTTATAAATACTCCTACTCCTCGTCACTTTTTGAGAATCTCACCTCTGCTATCAGCTCTCTCATTATCCTCTCTCTGCAGTGCCGAGATCCCAGCCCTGCAGAGATTCCTTCAACCTCCTCCAATATTTTCCAGTTGCTCTGTTTCTCTTCTTGTCTGAACATATGGCTCCATTAGCATCATTGTTGGTGTCCCTGTTAACCATACTTGGGCTATTTGCATCAGGTAATTCTTCACTAATAACAAAACTATCTTCTACTAAGCAAACTTTTCTCAATTTCTGCAAACTAGTGTAAATTTGTAGATTAATTTTTCACTCTGTTTCTTGCCTACAGGAGTTCTTTCAACCACATTCACAATGGTGAACAAGTGCGAGTACACAGTTTGGCCCGGCATTCTCACCAACGCCGGCGTGCCTCCGCTTCCGACCACCGGCTTTGCTCTCCAAAAGGGCGAGACCAAGACCATCTCTGCCCCAACCTCCTGGGGAGGCCGCTTCTGGGGCAGAACCCTCTGCTCCCAAGACTCCACCGGCAAATTCTCCTGCGTCACAGGGGATTGCGGCTCCGGCAAAGTAGAATGCGCCGGTAATGGCGCTGCCCCGCCCGCCACTCTAGCTGAGTTCACCCTCGACGGGTCCGGCGGCCTCGATTTCTTCGACGTCAGCCTCGTCGATGGTTACAACCTCCCTATGTTGGTGGTCCCACAGGGCGGCAGTGGGACCAACTGTTCGAACACCGGCTGCGTGGTCGATCTCAACAGCCTTTGCCCTTCCGAGCTCAAGGTCACCAGCTCCGACGGCAGAGAAGGCGTGGCCTGCAAGAGCGCGTGCGAGGCGTTTCAACAGCCGCAGTATTGTTGCAGCGGCGCGTATGGTACACCGGACACTTGCAAGCCGTCATCCTACTCTCAGATATTCAAGAACGCTTGTCCGCATGCTTACAGTTACGCATACGACGATAGGACCAGCACCTTCACATGTGCTGCTGCGGATTACACCATCACTTTCTGCCCCTCGCCTAGCACCAGGTATTTTTATTCATATTTACTCATTTCTCCTTCACGTTCCCCTCCCCGCCTCTTTCGTTTTTTAACGTTGTGAAGGGTAGTTTTGTCCCGGTAAATAAGTTCGTAAGAAGCCTGTAAATATGAACGTTGGGGGTTGGGGGGGTTGTTTACTTTTTACTTTAATAACTTTTGTCCGTTAACTTATGGGCCAACTTAACACAACGGAATATCGGTCATTAGTCAGTGTCAGGCTGTCAGTGATGAACGGGCGTTTGGTTTGCTAGAACAACCACCACCACTACACACGGCTCAAAGCCGACATGCTACTACCCGACCCCGTTTAGTTGGTGGTCAAAAGTCAAAACTAGCCTTGTTAAATTTTATTAAATAACTAAAGGTCAAAAGAGTCTTTTAGAAATCCATATGCGGTCTGTCTCCAATGCGAATGCAGAAGGAACGCATCTCTCTGAATCTGGAGAAATAACGAAGATGCATTTCTACGCCAAAAAGCGTAGATCCCGATGCTCTTCAAAACCTAGAGATGAGATGAGATTCGAGGCCCTTTTGTTTAATTAATAAACACTCGCATCGCATCGCATCGCACGCACTCCAAACTTGTCTCCTTATTTACTTTTGCAACGGTCCATAATTTGCATTTTAATTTTTGTTTAGTGGGTAAATTAAATTTACTGACGGTAAGTATTATTAATTGCAGCAAGAAAGCGTCTCAGGGACAGAACACACAGCCACAGCCTACAAATACCACTACAGGTACACCGTCGTCCACAAGCAGCTCACCGGAGCAGATAAACAACACAATGGAATACGAAGGTGCCTCGTACGATCAAAGCGAAGCATCCTCGTCCACGCGTACTACATCACATGCAATTGCCGTCGCGCTGGCCATTCAGCTGCTGTCGCAGCTCTTCTTCTAACTTCTTCCGTGAGGGTGGCCCATAACTTGGGCCCCCAGTCGGGGACGTGGACCCTACAACTTTTTTGCACCAGTTTATTTTTTTATTTTTTTAAATAATTTTATATCGCATGGTCCATGTGAATTACTTAGTGGGGCCCATGTGACGTGGATTTGAGCAATTGATTGAAAAGCCCACCACCCGTCTGCTTAACCTTCTTGCTTTCTTTAATGAACAAGTTGTAGGGGCCCGGGGGCACCCAATTAGATTAGATTAGATATATAGAAATGCAAAAAATTGTGGTAGTGGAGATGAAGATGAAGCAGAGGCTAGAGCTGTTGAGCTGTTGAGCTGTTAGGTGGAAGGAAGGATTATTTTTTAATTTTTGGTCATCCAATTGTTTATGATAAATGGAGGGTCGAAATTGGTTTGTTTGTATTTTAGGGAATGTTGCTATACAAATTTGGTAGGAAGAAAATGAAGCTTTTCTCTTTCCATTTGATGTCACTTGGTCACCAAGCATTGAAGCTCCCATGTTATTATTTGAAATTTGACATTATGTATATGAAGCAATAATTGATTCTAATGGGCTTGCTAGGGATAATGTAAATAATAAAGCTTGGATTGTTGGATGATATGATGCTTCAGTTGAGATCACCTTAATTTCACTACAAATAATGAAGCAGTCTGCAACTGCAAACCTATCATGGGTTGGGTTCAATCACGAGAATACCTACGTGATGATGGCCTATTTAGCCTTGGTGGTGATCATTGTCCGACTTAATTACTCAAAGATTAGAAGCAAAGGTGTAATGATTGGATTACTTTTTCTGCTGTGTCTCATGAATAAATAAATCCAACGACAAAATAATATCACAATTTCTCTCATCCACGCCTTGAATCCTTGTCTTACTGTTTAAAAATGCTTCTCTGAAATTGACGCAGGCAGCTTTGGGTTTTGTGGATTCAATTCTAACAAGTGTCACCATAAAAAATAAAAATAAAAACTTTATTTCTTGATAAGAATATGAATATGTGTTAGCAACTTGAGCTTCTTCTGTTCTGTATATAATCCAGGTAGAGAGATTAAACAAAGACATCACTTTCCGAATTTTCTTTTAATTACGTATGCAAATGCAAAGATTTTGACAATCACTAGCTTGGAGCTAGCTCGGTGATTGTGTGTGTGGTTATGCAAGCAAAGATTCTTATGCGACTGTTAGAGGTTTCGAAGAGGCCGCAAAAGGTCAGCATCAAACACATGTATGTTGTTCATTCATTCGTTGCTTGATGCTCTTGTCTTGTGTTGGTCGCGCATGGCAGCTTCCGTCACGGAACCACCAGCAGACAACAAGAATGAGAGTGCACTGTTCGTTCATGCATTATCTGCCTTTATTTTATTTTATTTAATGTCCATCCATCCATGACTCATTGGAGGAGGATTTCATTAAAAACAAGGCTATATGCATATCTGTGGTGCTGATGTGCACAGTGCAAGACTCATGAAAAATGAGCGCCGCATATTTTCTGTTTCAGCTGCTGCTCATACTCATTGTGGATATCATATGTAACCAATCCAACCAAATTGGCTTTATATATGTGTTTGCTAATTCTATGCAACCGAACTCTACTTCTACTAGATTGTAGATTGCAGCTGTAGGCGCTCTCCCAGAAGATGGAAAAGCCATCGAATCCAATCCATTAATTACTGCTCTTTCACCATCAAGTTGGGGTTGGGGTTGGGCTGCAAATCCATGAAACTTGCGCACTGCTGCACTGCATGCCAAATTAATTTGATCCTTACATGTATAAACGTATTGTTTTATATATCAAGTTGAAAAAGGAGGCGGCTCAATTGAATTCCTAGTCATGGTGAATGGGATGTTGGACCAAAGGGCAGGACAGCTACCACGCTTGGAAGTTGGGGGGGGCTCAGCTTGTCAAAGGGTTCTGACTCATACAATACAAAACTAGCCTTCTACTTAACTACTAGCTCCTCCTGCCTCTCTTTTTTAATCTTCTTATTATATGTATATCCACAAATTAAAACTTTGATATATATATATATATATATTATTGGTTTCTGTTCCGGCATCAGTGTCATTGATAATGGAAACAGATAGAGCCTGAAATTTGCAGTATGCATAATAGCCGCCCGAATATATGGAAATTAACAAATTGAAGCAATTGAAGTGAGTGAGTGTGTAAGCAGAACAGATGATCCTTCATTTTCAGCCCAATCTCTCTCTCACTACGACTACTGCTTACTTTATATTCGCCAGTGCCACACCCAATCATTTCATTGCGAAACTTGCGTCCATTCTTGACCAACATGTAACCTGTTGTTGGAAGGAAAACACCCCTTTACTTCCTTTTTTTCTTTTTGGTGCGTGTAAGTGTGTTAATCGCTGCCTGAATCAGTGAATCTGCCCCGTATATAAAGAAGCTTTATCATACAGGGGAAGAAAAAACAAGGGATTATGACTGATTGATCAGAGAAAGTTGGTGGTCGTATCGTTTGCTAAATTGCTAATGCTAATAATAAAATAAGCATGCATGTGTTATATATTTTGATCATGATAATTGTGAAACAATATGCTACCTAGTTTAGTGCGTTTATGGATAAGGTATTGGACTATGATTCCATTCCAACCAACAAAAAAATCATTACTTTCTCTCTTTTTTTTTTTTTTTTTTTTTAATTTAAAAAAAAAAAAAAAAAAAACTATTTTACTTTTTTTTATTAATAATCCTAATGAAATGGACATGTCTACAAAACTAAGCCCATGAGCTCAAACTAAACTAGCTCATGAGCAATTTGTCTTATTTGCCCCAAAATACTTGGGCCATTCACTCAAGCCAGTCAAATAATCCTCCAGGACCTAAGAAAAACCCAAACTCAACTCAGTCTCCCCTAAATTGAGATCCACCATCAAGTATTTCATACTGTCGAGACAGAGAGGCCATTCTGTCGTGAGTCAAACATGTGTATATATATATATATATATATATATTTATTTATTTATTTATATATAGCCTTTTCAAAGTTAGTCTTCTTTGATTGTTTTCTTCATTGTATTTTAATAGAAAGAGATGATGGCAAAAGCACAGTTGCTTAGTGGAGAAGATACGTACGTACAAGGCTCTAGATTGTTCTGCTATTTGTATAAAGCTAGATATCATAGGTTTTCAGACCCCCGAAAGCAAAACAACAACAAAAGTTTGACGGGGTTAGTCCTGCATTCCATACCATCGCTTTGTCATCACACAGGCAGCTGCCTTTTATTTTATACTTGGATTAATAGACTCATTTTTATGAATTAATTGTGCCATTTGCAAAATCCACAGATATGCATGCAGCAAAGTAAAAAGAAAAGCAGAGATAAAGTATATTAGCAAAAAGATACCCTATCTATCTGCATGCAAATGCGTATATACCTACTTGCTAGTATTAGTACAATGACTTATCAGCAAAAAGTCAGAAAGAAAAATGAACCAAACCATGTAAGTTTGAGCGACATGAGGAAAAAGACATGTCCCCGTCGTGGTTTTCTACTCCAAAGTGTGGTGTGAGATTGTTGTGTTCCTTTACACGACGGATAGCATGCCACAATCCCTACAAACTCTACGTAGTATCTTCTTCTTTGCCAATAGCCTTTTTGGCACGGTTTTTCAATGCACAAAGAAGAAAGAAAAGGATTATCTTCGTGCATATTACACAGTACAAAGAAAGAAAATAGGAAAAAGACATTTCAATTTCATTCAACTACTATCACACAAGTTTTTTATTTTGATCCACGTACTCTCATCTCTTTTTTAGGACCAACTGCAACTCCATCAAGTTGCTTAAAAGTACCAACAAATGAAACGACAGTCGTTGGATAACACCCTGTGCAGTGCACTGTGCACAATATGGGGTTGCGAATTCTTATCCCAAAATATAAAGGACGTTAATTTGGTCCAAGATAAGATAACTTTCTGCTGTTAGTTCTTGCACATGCTACAAATTATATACATATGAAGGATGGAGCGCAGACACCTTTTGCATTTGCAGCGTAGACATTCCACTTTTGCATGTCATCATGTTGGATTCCTCCAATAACTTGATAACCTATATATATATGATTTCATCACTTTTTGCATTTGCATGCGTATATGGTCAAAAGATTTCAAAATCAATAGTTTTGTTTTTGTTTTTTGGGTCATAACAGAACCACTAGTTTTGGTGTGCTAGGGATTGGATTGTTATCAGCCACAAATTAATATCTTGACCTTAGACAACATACTTTAAGCAACTTAAACTCTTTTACTTTATCCTCAAGTGTTGTGATTATGAGTTAATAGGATGATTAATCAGCATCCTGTCACAGTGTCTTTTAATTGAGGGATTTCTCAAATAATTTTATTTAAGGAACACCCCGTATGGTGTTAATGAGCTGTACATTCCTAATTAGTCTAAGTCAACTATTTGATTCTACAAGATTATAGGAACATAATTACATTCCGAGAATAGTTTCGTAGGCTATGTATATATAACCTTTCTATTGTTATATATCAATATGAATGAAATATTATTTTTACCCAATCTGATATGGTATCAAAGCTGTCGATCATGACTGTCTCTTGACCTAACCCTAGCAATCGCTTCCGCAACAGCAGTTGTCAACAAACCCAGCACCAGAAAATCACTTGTTTATACCAAAATGAACAGCCAATGGGCATCGGACACGTGGACCAAACTAGAACTATGGGAGCCTTCGGCACCTAGCTTCAATACCGCGCCTACTGATCGCACGATTAGGGCAACCTCACCCCCAAGGACACGTGGCAGTCCCACAATTGATGTCCACAGTCCCACATCGAAACTCTAAACAAATTGCACACCTCCCAAGGCCTATAAAAGAGGACAACTATCCCAGCTTTGAGGTAATCAATCAGAACTTACGGCATACTGCCTATTAATCTGTAGTTCAAACTTACCAAATCCGTACTTACTTAAGCATCGGAGAGCCTTCGGCCGGTACCACACTGGTGCTCTAGGTCTTACCGAGCGTTTGCTATCTTGCAGATCGAACGCCCTACCGAGGCCCAGAGCATACCGAAGGCCCAATATCTCTAAGTTGCGCGGGAAAGTGCCAAACCATTTTTCTGCGTCAACATCACTCAACCGTTCTCTTGCCTTCTTTTTCCCTCAACCTCTATTTCTTATTGCAAACTAGCCTATATTCCATCTATATTCCATCAGTTTGTCTTATTGTCCACCTTCGTCAAATCAGTTTGTCAAACCAGCCTATATTTCATCTCACAACCCAGCACCAGTTTGTCAAACTAGTTTGTCACATCATTCAACAAATATTCAAATCTCACAAACCAACTCAAATCACCATTTCCTTTCAACCCAATATTTTTTTTTTTGTGTCTTTTTCTCATCAGTTACCCAGAGTAACGTTTACAGATTTCTTTTTGCCTTTTTTTTTCTCTCTCATCACTTGTAAGCCAATATTATGGCCAACGATGATGGGTTAGCAAACACCAATCAATCTTTGGTGTCAGGAGGCTCCAAAACTACCACACAAATCGTCACTTTGCAGAGTGACACCTCCAACTTCTCTGCATGAATCAAACTGGATGAGAATAATTATTCTCTATGGCATCAAATCATAGAGATGCAGATAGCTGGGCGAGAAAACATGGCCACTTGACCAATGATATTGCCCAACCTGCAGACATAGATCCCACATTAATAAATGGCGTGCATCGGATTGCCAAGTCAAGAGTTGGTTGTTCGACGCCATGCAACCTAATCAGATGAAAATATTTATTCGTTATGACACAGTAAAGCAAGTATGGGCTGCAATCAAGCAAACCTATTCAGATTGTGCCGATGAAGCCAAGATTTATGATCTTCACAAACGGTCATTCATAATGAATCAAGCTGACGCATCAGTTGCCAAATATTACAATGAGCTCATTGAGATTTTTCAGGAGCTTGATCAATTAAGTCCAAGCCCCATGGAGCATCCGAAAGACATTGAGACTAGAGACAAAGAGGTTGATCGTCTTCGAGTTTATATATTTCTTGCAGGTTTGGACAATAATTTCAATCAAATCCGAGGGGAGATTTTGCGGATGGAGCCAAAGCCTGAACTTGAGGCAGCATATGCACATATTAAAAGAAAGAGTAACCGCTAGGGAAAAAAAAGACAAAGGGCAAAAAAGATCAGAGCCTCATTTGCATCCGCTCAATCATCCGAGGAGACTGCATCAAAACCTCCATAAGGTACATTTGGCTCCAAGGCCTTGGCCACCTCAGGTACCTCTTGCATATCTTCACTTACTTGTAATAGATCATGGATTATTAACATTAGCACTACTTATCACATGACATCTAGTTTTACTAGGTTGCACTTTACCAAACCATCAAGCCAAACACATATTACCAGTGCCAATGGCACCACCTCCCAAGTTATGGGAGAATGGTCTTTATCTCTTACATCCTCATTAAGTCTTGATCATGTCTTAGTTGTCCCTTCACTCGACTATGACTTGTTATCTGTTCCTCAAATCATTGATTCCCTTAATTGTACCGTGTGTTTTTTGTCATTTCATTGTCTATTTCAGGATCTTCTCACCAGGACCGTGATTGGATGTGGTACTAGAAGGGGAAATTTGTATTATCTGGACTTGACATAAGACAGCAGTACAAGATTGAGTCACGCATATCATGTGAGAGGAGATGAGTTTATCAGGATGAAGAAAATTTGGCTATGGCATAGACGATTAGGGCATGCTTCTTTTGGTTATATGAAACTTTTATTTCCATATTTGTTTTCCCAGTTTGCTGAATCAGACTTTCATTGTGAAACTTGTATTTTAGCGAAAAGCCATCATATTTCTTACCCATTAAGATTGAATAAAAGTCCTCTGCCTTTCGTGATTGTCTATTTTGATGTGTGGGGACCATCACGAGTTCCCACTATTAACGGTTTTAAGTGGTTTATGACGTTTATTGATGATTGCACCTGGATGACCTGGGTTTTTCCCCTAAAGTAGAAAAGTGAAGTTACCGCCAAATTCAAGTTAATTTATCAATATGTTGCTACTCAGTTTGATAAGAAGATCACTACACTTCGATATGACAATGGAGAAGAGTACGTCAACCATTACCTATATAATTTTTTAAGTCAACATGGAATTGTTCATCAAACCACATGTGCATATACACCACAACTGAATGGTGTCGCAGAGCGTAAGAATCGTCATCTCTTGGAGATTGTTCGTGCCTCTTTATTTGAGGCATGTATGCCTCATCATTTTTGGGGGAGATGCTATTTGTTCTACTGCTTACCTTATTAATAGAACACCATCCAACACTCTTCAGTATCAAACTCCATTTCAGACATTAACCAGTCTTCTCACCATGCAATCCACACCAAATCTCGAACTACGTGTCTTTGGTTATGTTGCTTATGTTCAGGTGTATCCACATCAGCGTGGCAAGCTTGATCCGTGTGCACTGCGTTATGTCTTTGTAGGTTATGCTCACACTCAGAAGGTCTATAAGTGTTTCCATCCTCCCACTCAAACTATGCATGTTACCGCATATGTGACTTTCCACGAGAGTGAGTTCTATTACTCATGGGGAGTTTCTGAGCATCCTCTGCAGGAGGAGAGCTCTATCTTTGCAGAAGATACTCAGATCATCCAAATTCAACAAAATGTTTTAGAGCAGTCAGTTTCTGAGTAACCAGCTACAGTAGTGCAACAAGATCAAGAGTTACTGGAAACTCTAAATAATGGTTCAGATAATTTCCCTCATACTACAGTACCATCACTAATCACCCAATCAGGTCTTGAAGATTCCCCGCATGTAACTGAACATTTAAACTCCAACTTAAGCACTTTGCCTAAGTCGAGTCATACAGGAAACCCAGGTTATCAGTTACCTATTCGTACCACTAGAGGGATTCCTAGACAACAATATGACCCGAACCCAAAAACAAAAGTTAAATACCCTATTGCTAATCATGTGTCCCTACATAGGTTGTCTTCGTCATGTGCATCATTTGTATGTCAATTATCCACTGTATCTATTCCAAATAATGTGCAGAAAGCTCTAAAAGATCCCAAGTGGACTTAAGCGATGAATGATGAAATGGAGGCCCTCCAGAAGAATTCTACTTGGGAGATGACATCCTTCCTAAAGGGAAGAGAACAGTGGGTTGTAGATAGATATATACAATAAAGTTCAAGGCAGATGACACCATTAAACGATACAAAGCAAGATTGGTGGCGAAAGGTTATACTCAGACTTATGGGATTGACTATGGGGAGACCTTTGCCCCTGTAGCTAAGATAAACACAATTCGGGTGCTTTTTTCTCTGGTAGCAAACCTAAACTGGCCATTACATTAGTTTGATAATGTCTTCCTGCACGGTGACCTAGAAGAAGTCTATATGGATTCCCCTCCAGGATGCAAGATGTGGCCCAATACTAGCAACATGGTGTGTAAACTGAGAAAGTCTCTTTATGGATTGAAGCAGTCACCCAGAGCATGGTTTGGAAAGTTCAGCAAATCAATAAAGGATTTTGGATACAAGCAAAGTAATTAAGATCATACTCTTTTCTTGAAACATAAGAAAGGTAAAGTCACTGCCCTTATTGTATATGTTGACGACATGGTAGTTACTGGGAATGACCCAGTGGAAAAGGCAGCATTGCAGCACCACTTGGCAAGTGAGTTTGAAATGAAAGATCTTGGTGCTCTAAAGTATTTCCTAGGCATCGAAGTGGCTCGTTCAGAATAAGGAATATTTCTATCACAACGGAAATATATCCTTGACATTTTGACTGACACTAGAATGTTAGCCAACAAACCAGCAGATACGCCAATGGAGTTGAATCATCAGCTTGGTGAATATCCTGATCAGGTACCCACCAACAAAGAAATATATCAATGCCTTGTGGGTAAGTTAATCTATCTAGGACACACTAGACCTGATATAGCATATGCAGTAAGTGTGGTGAATCAGTTCATGCATACATCAAGTGAAGCCCACATGGATGCGGTAAACTGAATTCTGAGATACTTGAAGTCATCTCCTAGAAGAGGATTGATGTTCGCACGACATGGTCATCTAGATGTTGAGGGTCACACTGATGCAAACTGAGCAGGCTTGATCTACATCTGGATACTTTACCTTTATGGGAGGCAATCTAGTATCTTGGCGAAGTAAAAAAAACGGAAAGTAATGTCAAGATCAAGTGCTGAAGCAAAATATTGAGGTATGGCACACGGAGTATGTGAGCTACTCTGGATAAGGAATTTGTTGAAGGAATTGGGGTTCAAACCCAAATATGCCATGCAACTGAATTGTGACAACAAAGCCGCAATAGACATTGCATATAATCCAGTGCAACATAATAGAACCAAGCATGTTGAAGTTGACAGACATTTCATCAAGGAGAAGCTCGAGGCGAAGATCATTAAGGTATCATTTGTTAAATCCGAAGATCAACTTGCAGATGTCCTCACCAAAGCAATCACAGGCAGGGTATTTCACAGCTCACTTAGCAAGTTGGGGATTGACGACATATATATTCCAACTTAAGGGGGAGTGTAAATGAGCTGTACATTCCTAATTAGTCTAAGTCAACTATTTGATTCTACAAGATTATAGGAACATAATTACTTTCCTAGAATAGTTTCCTAGGCTATGTATATATAACCTTTCTATTGTTATATATCAATATGAATGAAATATTATTTTTACCCAATCTGATATAGGGTCCCTTACGAATTTTTTTTCAACGATCCAAATCATCTATATTTTTTAAGTCTACATGCAAAGATCATCCTTGCAAAAAATTACACAAATTGAAAATCGTTTCGACATTCAATTGTGTCATACAAAATCAATAAATACGGTGCTTTAAGAAAGTACTAAACTTTCAATAATTCATTTGAATAGTCAAATGATATCGAATTCAAGTGATTTTTTGTATAGATGATTTTTGAATAAATATCTACAAAATAGACAATATGGATTAGTAAAATACAATACAGAGTAAGTCCTACAAGGGTGTCCCTCAAAAAAACTTATTTGAAGAATTCCTCAACGGAAGCTCTCTTTATATTATATATATATATATATATATATATGTTGAAGTTAAAAAGAAGGAAGATCATATTAATGCCATTCTCTACAGCTAATTAAGCTAGCTGATCGATCATTATTCAATTTAGGGTTGGTGGTTGTGTGTTATTCTAAGTATAGTCTTTTGAGGTGGATACTACAGATATTCTACGAATCACAGTCATCATCAATACACACAAGCAAAGCAAAGCAAAGCAAGGCAACAACATGCACGTCATTGCCCGAAAAGTGGTAAACTTTTTCCACATGTATCCTGTAGCCATTACCCTTTGCCGCAGAACAGAACACTGTACTCATATGCTTTGTTGACATTCTGGATACCCGATATTAATTAACCAAATTTATAAGCTTTCTTGTCATTGATGGTAACTTACATTTGGCTTTGGGTATGCTCAATTTTCAATGAACCATATTCGTTTTTAAGCTCTTTTGAGGGCACTAATTTAATTAAGTAAAAACTTAATCAAAGAAAAAATTGGCAAAAAAAAATTGTCAGAAGTGGGATTTGAACCCACGCCCTCTCTCGAAGACCAGAACTTGAGTCTGGCGCCTTAGACCACTCGGCCATCCTGACTATGCTAACTTTGTGGTTTTTATCTTTATATACTAACCAAATAAATAAATAAATAATTCGTATTCAAAAGTCATTAAGAAAGACGCGGTTCCAATCCAAGTTCCAACTGTCACATTTTCCAGCCAAATAGCGAATGGTAAACAGTGTTAAAAGACAACAGAGTCCCACAACGGAAGTGCATTCCACGCCACCATGTATGCAGTGACGTGGAGCTGTATCAGCAATGCCGGTTACTCCAAGCTTTTGCTTTACCAGATCCTAAACCCAAACAAAATCACCCATAAGCTTAAGTTAAGAATTTTGTTCAAGCTGACACGCACAACATGGTTTCATTTAACGAAAAAGAATCACACGGAAATAAACATGCCTATTTTGTTTTTAAAATTGTTTTGGGCGGTTGGAGTAAATTTATGAATAAAAAACATCAACAAACAGTACACATGGCAACCTGGGAAACACAACAGCTATGCTCTCACCGTCCCACGTGCTAGGTTTCCCATCCTTATGCAAAGAGTTCCTTTTCCAATAATCCAATCACGTACGATTCAGCACTATGTCTCAATTCCACTAACCCTTTTTAATTTATTTAGCAAAGAAACTTCCTTTTTCTTTGGCTACGTTTGCATACAGTACGTACCATAATTTCAACATTATTTATTAATAGCTGAATTTTGTTTGAAGAATAATGAAATTGATTCAGAATGTGCATGGCACAATGAAAAATGTATATAACTACCATATATCTAACTTTCAACTTTTGAGGAATTGTTTATCGTGATTTGGTTCACTGTGTCATTAATTAATTTCGGTGAAATGAATACTTAGAAGAAAATGTTAGATATATATGCATATGAGATTATGAGAATCTAATTCCACCCAGTAAAGTAAAGTTGTCAACCCCCATAGAAATTTTGAGGATGCTCATTGACATTATTTTGAATCATTGAATATGGAAAGGAAGGAACCGAAAAGCAAGATTCTTCGACATATACAATTAAGGGTCGGAACACATTTGTTAGGTGGAGCTTGTTGATCTCTTGGACTACAAGGGTCTGAGATATTTGTGGTCTCTCACCGTTAAATGTAAATTCAACGGTTCAGTCACTCTTGCATTCATTTTAAGAAACTTTTTTGAACAATTGGATTAATATCCAACGGTGGGTGACCACAATTTCTTAGACTCTTGTGGTCCAAGAGATCAGGATTGCCAAATCTAATTATAGATGCTCGAATAAAGGAGAATAGATCAGTTCAAAGTATTAAGTGTAACCTAATTTTTATTTTTATTTTTTTCAACCTCCTTTTTTCATTGAGCTTTAACTTTTGTAGGCATTAATACTATGCATCATGTGGAAATTTACAGGTTCACCTAATGCTTTCAATTTTACATTAAACGAACCCCCCCTTTAATAAAAATAAATAAATAAAGAGAAACAGATGATTATAAAGAAAAGGAACAAGGATGTTGGTGAAAATAATAATAAGGATACATATCATTAGCATGCCCCAAAGTGGTGTTTGGATGGATCATTTGTACTATATCTTTAGCACACTTAAATAAATTCAAGCTTGATTTGCCATTGAACTAGATCTTGGCAGTACATATCAACCAAATGATCTCTCTATTTTGTACATCTGCTGCTCTGCCCTAATAAGTAGCCCATGCCCATGCTAGAAAACTATGAGATTATACAACAATGACGTACGATACACGATATACTATAAGAAAAATTGATATTTGGACATTGCTGAAGGACATCTTGATACATATGTGAAAATAATTTATTAAAAAGAAAAAAGAAAAATCTCTACACATATCTCAAACTCTGATTGGCAAGAGAGTAAGAATTCCTACTTACAAGAAAGGAGATAAGTATTTTCCCATTTATTTTTGCAGCAGCTTTCCCTTGGATTGAGTGTTTGACCTACGCCGCTGGAACTTGGAAGTTACGTGGCTCCTATATATTTTTGTCATTATACAAAGTGGTTCCATTCCACCTTATATAAATAGTGACATGCAAATCACAAAACACACCAAATGAATCCCACACGATCCTACTTACACAATTAAGCATTACATACAAGTCACAGATTTCTTCCTTCGCCCTCTAAATCTGTTTTCCATCTCTCTCTCTCTCTCTCTCAAATTATTAATCTTCTTATTGGAGTTTATAAATCCTCTCTATCTTTCTCTCTCTCTCTGGATATCTAGGCTAGTCAATACAAGCATTCTTTCAGTACATAATAAAATATTTTCAATCATCACCAAAATCACTGATAATTCCCTTAGTAATTCACTCTCCAAAATGGATCTGAATCTGATGGCCATATTCCATTTTTCTCCTCTGTACATCACCCTCATTTTGTTTACAATTTGCAAAGGTACGTACGTGTGTTAATTTCCTCAAGATGTTTTAAATTTATATTATTATCACATTATTATGTTTAAAATTAAACATAACATTTCTTCTTTGATCTATATATGTAATGTTACAGGCATATCGGGAGCTACATTTACAATCATAAACAAGTGCGACTACACTGTATGGCCCGGAATTCTATCCAATGCCGGCAGTAGCAGATTAGACAGCACCGGCCTCCAACTCCAACCCGGCGCCTCCCGTTCATTTCAATCCCCACCCAACTGGTCAGGCCGATTCTGGGCTCGAACCGGTTGCAACTTCGACCCCACCACCGGTCAGGGCACCTGCACCACCGGCGACTGTGGTTCCAACCAAGTCGAGTGCAATGGCGCCGGCGCTAACCCACCAGCCACTCTCGCCGAGTTCACGATCGGCGGCTCCGACAACCAGGATTTCTACGACGTCAGCTTAGTGGACGGCTACAACTTACCCATGATGGTGGAGCCGAGCGGCGGGTCGGGTAGTTGTTTGTCGACCGGGTGCGCAACCGACTTGAACCAGCGGTGCCCGGCTGAGTTACGGGTCGGGGACGGCGCGGCGTGTAAGAGTGCGTGTGAGGCTTTTGGGAGCCCGGAGTATTGTTGCAACGGCGCGTTTGGTACCCCCGACACTTGTAAGCCGTCGGTTTATTCGGAGATGTTTAAATCCGCGTGTCCTAGATCGTATAGCTACGCGTATGACGATGCCAGCAGTACATTTACTTGTACTGGAGCTGATTACGCCATAACATTCTGCCCTTCCACAACAAGGTAATTTATATTTTATTCATAATTAGTGTTATCTTCTTTCCCAATATTCCCGTTTTGCTTTTCCTGCAACTTTTTTTATGTACTATTATACTAATCTTTTGTGAGCCACACCCACAAGCCAGCAGCAACTCATTACTAGGAAAGCAGATTACTATTGATTGATTTTGATTTTTCTTCAATGTTAGAGAAACAGCCATAAATAATTCTTAAAGAAATCAGCTACTTGGGTTGGGTTGGGTGGGTCTCATTTACATTTTCTCTACTTATAATTTGATTTATATGTGGTGCATGCAGTCAAAAATCTGCCAGTACGTCTCCAACAACAGGTAATGGGTCGGGGCAGACAACAACCACAACAAATAACGGGTCTGGAGGTGGGAGTGGGACGACAGGGGAGGTCCCTGCGGTGGTGCAGGGAAACAGTAACAGTCCTCCTCCATGGACTGGAGACTCAACGAAGACCCTTTCTTCTTCTGCTCTTTACACTTCATTGGTTGCTTCCTCTGCCACTTTATTTCTCTTTCTTTCTCTATCGTTGCTTCATTCTTAGTCTCGTATCCTATATAATATATAGGGAGATTCACTAATATACCCAATATGGGAGCCCAAATTATAAAAATACCCCATATGAAATGAACTTTATAAACACACCCAAAACTCATTTACAACATAACAAAGAGGCTTTAACTTCTTATAAATTACAAAACTACCATAAATTTCTTAAAACAAGCCCAATCCCAAAATCTCATAAAAATACCCAAAACACTCAATAGGGCATTAAAGGAATTTAATAATCAATATTAAATTCAATAAGGCCACCTATTATTTTTGGGGTTTTTTTTGGGTTTGTTTATAGAAATTCAATGATGGAGGGTTTATCTATAATATTAGTGCTAAGAATGGGTATATCACTAAATATCTCTAATATATATGCACGCACGTGCGAGCCTCGGAGGCCAATGAGGAAGTCCAGAGGTTGTAAAGTACAGAGAGAGACGACGATATAGATTAGATATAGTTTTAGCATAGACTAGAATATAAAGATACAGTTTTTGTTAATATCTTTTCTTCCCTTGGATAGTTTTTGAACGATAGCAATTGGTAAGTTAGTGTACGAATGAAGTATCGAAGAAAGAGCATTTTGAGATCGAGGCACTGCTATTATTCCAATTCATTCGTCAACTTGATTGAGTCAGTAAAAAACAAAGTGTTTGCTTATCTTTGAATCCATCTCGGTAATTTGGTTGGTGAAATGTTGGGCACCAGCTGCTAAACAGAATAAACTTCGCTGGAACTACAAGCTTTGCAAGTTCTCGTCTCTTTGAAGTTTTTGACCCCGCGAATCGCAATGAGTGTAATTGAGGTCCATCATTTCATTTGGTACTTCTGAAAATCTGACCAGTTCCCTGCTAAACTTAGATCGGAAGAATTGTTTATTGTGGCCCAGAGCCAGTTCCTTAAAAACCCTAAACCAAGATGGAGTTTCTTCTTCGGTCCTATAGCAGCCAAGATAAACTTGTCTAGAATCTGCAGTATAAATAAAACTCAAAAGATATATCACACTAGACATTAAAGAGCGTGCGCCTGCTTGTATATAACGCTGCAATTACTCAACAAGGTGAGGAAAAGAAATAGAGAGAGACAATTGATTAATTGAACAACATTGTATTTGCAAAGAAAGTACATGGCATAGTCTCTCTTAAACTCATTAACTAGATGCTGGAGACAAAATTCTGGTTTATACGATTACAGTAAATCTATTACCTAATGTCTTTAACTTAACCAAATTAAATCAAAAAGTGCAGAGCAGCAATTTCCCGTTTCTCCAGAAACTGGACCGTGAAAGGCCAAAGCCCATTGGACCTTAATGTATCACCCCACCCTATCGGCTATAGGCAACCTACAACTCATCCTTCAGTGTATCTGCATCGGCCTCAGGGGTAGCTGTCGCTTCATTTGTAGCAGTTTCTGTCTCAACCTCTTCAACCTCTTCTTCCTCCTCAACTGCAACATCAGGGTTTATGTTTAGGCTAGACTTCACTGAACTGTAGATGCGGGAGGCAAAATCCTTGGGGTCTGGAAGATTGAAACCGCTCTCCATGAGTGCAGTCTGGTAAATAAGCTGCGCTGTCTGCTTTACGCTCTCATCCTGAAGAGCAAGCAAAAATATTGAATAAGATAAACCGGATTCACTAACAATTCAACAAATGGTTTTTTTCCTAAGACATGCTTTTAAACCCAACCATAAGAGTACGCCTTGGCTCCTTTCAATTGCTTAACAGACCTGTGATAGCAATAGCAATGTGCCTACTTATTCATGTAAACCACCTAAATGACGAACCATTTTGATTTCATAACAAAGATCAGATCCCCAAATGAGGCTCAATCAGAAATGAAACAATTTTAACCAATGAGAGAAATCCAGGTTACAAAGGTCAAGATTTCTTGAAAATATTTTGCGAGGAAGACCCACCAGTCATTTGTAAATGTTGGAGATCATGAATGCACATATATCTTCTTCATATATGTTTCCTCCATTCAAATTTCTGAATATGTAAGTGAAGGGGAATAGGAATAAGTCTAGAACATACCTCAGCATTCTTTACTACTCTCTCCCGGAGCTCCTTGATGATTGGGTGCCTTGGGTTAATCTCAAGGATCCTCTTGCCACGCATGTATGCTTGTTTGCTAGCATCTGATAAAGTCTGAGACTGCATGATCCTCTCCATGTTTGCACTCCAACCATACTTTGATGTCACGACCACACAAGGCGTGTCAGCCAAACGGTTGGACAGCTTCACATCATCCACATTGTCACTGGCAAGAGCACTCTTCCACCATTTAGTGAGTTCCTTGTATGATTCCTTGACTTCCTTGTCTTTTGAGTCTTTACCAAGTTTCAAACCCTCCTTTGACACGTTCTGGAATTTCTTGTCTTCATAGTCCATCAAGTATTGCATCAGATATTCATCAACTGGATCTGTGAAGAAAATAACCTGCAACAATAGATATAGAAGGTAAATAGAGAGACAAAAAAAAAGCCATTCCTCGTGACTTAAACAAGTGGGAAAGTAACAAATATCCCTATTTAAACAAGTGCAAAGATAGAATATCTTTTATATGTACCTCATAATTTTTCTTCTTAAGCCGCTCAATGAATGGAGATTTTTCCAACTGTTCTTTGCTGGCTCCAGTAATGTAAAATATGTCCTTCTGCCCAGATTTCATCCTTGAAATGTACTGATCTAGTGAAGTCAATTTTCCATCTGACTTGGTGCTGCCAGAGAGTTTAAAGTTGGTCATTCAACCCCATGAAGGCAACTATAAGGACATGTGCTGCCAATAAAACTAAACATAAATAGTACCATAAAATATGTTTACCTCTCAAATCTTAGGAGTTTTGCCAAACGATTCCTGTTAGCCGCATCTTCAATGATACCAAGCTTAATGGACTTGCCGAATTCATTCCAGAATCTAGTATATTGGCCTCTCTTCTCATCATCATCACTGGATTTCTCAAGCTCTGTTTTCGCATCAAAATTCAACACAAAGCATAAGTGAACAATTAATGCAAACTTAGTAACTCTCCCCCCCTGTTAGCATCACTAACTTTTACAAAAAAACAGCAAAACATGAAGCTCAAGTTGTTGGTTTTCAAGGGTTGGTATTAATGCAAGTTCAGTTCAACTGGGATGCAGTAAACATGACATCAATGCACCACATAACAAATCGTACGCTCTGATTGAATACTCCCAGAATTGTACCAAGAAACTGCTTGCAAATATTAACAAGAAGCAATTTTATGTGCACCATACCTTTCTTGTCTTTGTCATTGGACTCATCAGGATCTTCCTCAGCAAGTTTACGGATCATATCAAGGGCTTTCCGGATGAGCTTCTTCTTAATTGTCTTCAAACTGCTGTGTTGTTGAAGCATTTCTCGTGATACATTGAGTGGCAAGGTATCAGAATCAACAAGACCCTGATCATAAGATCATCAATGTAAAATCAGATTTGGTAAGCATGTAAAAACCAGTTTTGGTAAGCATGTAAAAACCAATCTCATAAACTTAATTGCAAGAACTTAAACATATCCTGTATTACCTTCAAAAAATTCAGATACTTTGGCAAAAGCTCATCAAATTCATCTGAAATGAAAACCCTTCTAACATACAACTTCAAGTTGGATTTATTGGCATTATAGTAGCTCTCATATAGATCATGAGGAGCCTTAGGAGGCACAAACAGGACAGCCTTGAATTCTACGTCACCTTCAGCGGTAAAGTGGCTCCATGATAAAGGCTTCTCATCACCAAAATCCTGTTGAAGAGTATAAATATGTGCAATTGATGAATACACAGAATATGAAAGGTGATTTAGTTCCCAAAAACATTCTACAAGGTCATGCAACCATAAGAACATTACCTTGGCAAGAGAGTGATAGAATTTGGTGTACTCTTCATCAGTTACTTCCTTTGGATTGCGCAACCATATAGCTTTAACATCATTTAGAAGCTCCCATTCATAAGTAGTTTCTTTTATTTTCTTTGTCTTCGGTTTTTTCTCAGAATCTTCATCTTCATCTTCACTTTTCTCAGTTTCTTCCTCGGAGGATTTGCTTTCAGCTGTTCACAATCATTGGGTAAAAGCAGGGAGGCAAGAATATGTAAGAATATGCATCGAACCAGATGAAATTTTAATGCTTAGAAATATAAGTAATTTCTGCTATCAGCACTAAAAGCTTATCATATTTGAGAAAAAAATTTGAATAATGGGTGCATACTTGATTCTTCCTCATCAGAGGACTCATCCTCATCGGCAGGAACCTCCACATCAACCTCTTTGCTTGCCCAGAGGTGGATGGGGAAGTTGATAAATTCAGAATATTTCTTCACCAACTCAAAAAAAAAAAAAAAAAAAAAAAAAAAAAAAAACAAATATCATCAAATAATCATCATAAACACCAAAAATAAAAACAATGCAATCCAAGTAACAGAGATGAGAACGTTATTGGTTATATAATAGGCATAATTAAGAAGGGAGTAATAGTTTGTACCAGCACCCAAGAAAATGGGGAACCAACGTAAGTAAAAATTGAAATGAAATAAAATGGGGAACCACTTACTTTTAGTTTGCTCTCTTCCAAATATTCCCCTGCTTCTTCTCTAAGATGCAATCTAATTTCAGTACCACGTCCCAGTGGTTCATTATATGTATCCTCGGAAACTACAAATGACCCGTCAGCCTTTGACTCCCAAACATGCCTGAAACACAAGAAATTTATATGATCATCATATAACAGTTAAGGTGTGCCCCAAGAAAACTGTTAGCATAACAACATCAATGAAAGCGTAACTCGTATTTTAAACACCTACTGTTTGTCATCATTGTGTTTGCTGATGACTTCCACATTATCTGCAACGAGGTATACAGAGTAGAACCCAACTCCAAATTGCCCAATAAGATTGAGATCACCACTTGTCTGCATCTTCTCCACAAAGGCTGCCAGCAAAGTAAATACGAATTAAATCAGTATAACCAACACATAATTCCGCCGGATATTTTCAGACACAATATATAAAGCAATATGTACCTGAAGTTCCAGATTTTGCTATGGTTCCCAAGTTCTTGATTAAGTCCTCCTTTGTCATACCTATACCCCTGTCACGAATGGAGAGGATTCTCTTCTCCTTGTCTAATTTAATCTGCACAGGTTATTTTTTAGACAATCCAACAAGATTCAATGACATATATCGCTTCATAAATTCAAAGCAAAGCAAGCAACATCCACTAACCTGTATTTGGAGGTTAGTGTCATCGCCTTCACCCAAAACCTCCTTGTCTGTAAGGGCAAGGAATCTAATCTTGTCGAGCGCCTGAAATCGAGAAAAGTTTTCCGTTAGCATCGAAATCATGACAGGTCAATAATAAAACATTGTACGAGATAAATCAGTGTCAAAGGTTTACATCAGAAGCATTGGAGATCAGCTCCCTGAGGAAAATGTCTTTGTTGCTATAGAGAGAGTGGATAATAATGTCCATGAGCCGAGACACCTCTGCCTGGAACTGAAACTGTTCCGCGTTGCTGCGGAGTGATCTCTTTGAGATTGACTCGGCCTCCCTACAGTGGCCGTAAGTAATACACATCTATTCAGAAACTGCTAAAGAGGCTTCAAATTCATAAAACTCAGATATTGATAAACCTCTCACCTCTTAGCGACGTCAGAGTCGGTGGACAGCCCATTGGGAACAGCCCCGATCTTGTCCTCAACCTTTGGTGGATCTACGAGCTCCTCAGAACTACCCTCTGCATTGGCCTGTAATTTCCGACCTGAAAAAACATAGATCCCCAAAACCCTAATAAATTTCAACTTCCAAATAAGAATATCAAAATTTAGAAACATTTACTTCGAGCAATGCAGCATTGACTAATCAAGATCTATAGAAATGAACAGAAACATAGATTATGAAAACCCTAGCTTACCCTGATCCGGCAGGAGAGAGAGAAGGCACAGCAGAAGCAGAGCGGAAGGGATCGTCCACTTCCTCATCTTACTACTCCAACACACTCGAAGAAGTTGTTCTAGTAACTTCGCTCACTGAGATAATCCGTTTCAGTGCTTGCCAACCTCTCCTAGCTTGAGTTTTTATACATAGCTCTGCTGTTTAGACGGAGAGCGTCATGTTAACGGCAACTTGACTTTGGATTGGCCTAGTTTTGCCAGCGTGGCGAACCAACGCTTCTTGATTTGTTTCTGGATACGTGGCTAGATTTTATTGGGCCTGCTCTGTTTCCTTGACGTGGAGACACAAGGAATTGAGGACGGGCCCACCGACGACTTGAGATCTCCAGTCTGCTTGACCTATCCGATGAAGCTTGTGCTGCCAACATGTATGATCCTACGGATAGAGTTTACTTCTTTTACGTGGCAGTTTATTATTGGATTTTGTTTCGTCCTTGACGTGGATAAAATCCAACGCTCATCGATTTTTGATTCTTCTGCTCGAATCTATCAAAGCCCAATTAAAATAATAAGATTGGGCCTCTCAGATCTGCGTGAAAGTGCATACCAATTTTCCAATTTTTCAATTCAATATACTTTTGTGATGACTGACCGTAACATTTTCACTCCTCCTAGTTGAAAGGGCTTTTTCGTTTAAGAATCCCTGGTTGAAGGGTTTAAGAGCCATTCCACCGGATAGCTGAGCCTAGGGGTGGTTGCGGTTCGGTAACCGCGAATTTGTACTCAAACCGCAAACCGACCGACTATTTGCAGTTTTGTGATTTTTGAAACCGCAAAATGCGGTCGGTTACCGCGAATAAGCGATTTAAAACCGCAAATTCTCAAGTATTCACAAAAATATAAATTCACAACCTAAATAAATAAATACACAACCTCAATTTCTCAAACATATATAAATTCACAATCTCCTCAACTTCTCAAGCATTCACAACCTAAGAAAATTAAAGTTACAATTCCAAGCGTTCCAATTAAAGTTAAACTTCTCAAACATTCCAATTCCAAATCATTTAAAGTTACAAACCAAAAGGAAAATGCAAAGCAAAATGAATTAAAGTTACAACCAACAAGAAAAATCAAATTCAAAGTTAATTAAAGTTACAAACTAAAAGGAAAATGCAATGCACCAATGTTACAAACTAAAGTGTTGGTGGTGAGTGGATTTGAAGAACCCCGTTGTGTTGTTTGAGCACCAATGTTATCTACAAATAAAACAACATAGTTTAGTACATTTTATTATAAGAAGAAGCATAAATAACATTAGCATAAATAAACTAATTACTTACAAGTTGTCATATGTTCTATTTCCTTGTAGAATTCAACTTCATCATCCGTGCGGCTATACTTTGCGGTTTGCGGTAACCGCAAGTTTTGAAAATCAAATACCGCAACCGCAACCGCAACCGCAAATGCGGTTCGGTTCTTAATACCGCAAATGCTGTTCGGTTTACCACAATTGCGGTTTCATTGCGGTAAATTGTCGGTTGGTTTTTGCGGTTTTTCGATTTTTCGGTTTAAAATGCCACCCCTAGCTGAGCCCAAGGCTGTGGGACTAATTGCCCAACAGCCTTGATAGGTGATATTGGAGTCTTAGCCTTTCAATACATCGTTGAAGACCGGAGATTGACCCAGCACGTTAAGGTCATTTTGGGATCCGGCAACTCCAAAGAAGGCATGTCAAACCCATATGTCGAAGCAAGCAACGGCTTCCAAGATGATACTTTTTGGCCTTTTCTATTTCCATAACCACCTTACAAGGCTGTTGGGCAATTCTTCCATTACCAGTGTATGCAGTCGATGCTACCAATAATTCCTGGAAATCCTCGAGCTTCGGCTTTTTGTAGAAGTCATTGGAGGTCCCTGGGAGTAGGTCTACGCAGGTAGTCCCTAGTGTACAGAGTTTCAACTGCATCACAAAATCTTACCAAAGCCTCAAACGTAGTGGACTTCCCCATCCGGGCAATCTCATCCACCTGATCAGTAGATGCTCTATACGCCAACATTCGTATAACAACTGTAAGCTTTTGCTCCGGAAGAAGCCCCAAAACCCCAGCAGCATCACACTTTTGAACAAAGTATGCATCATAATTGCAAATATCATGCATGACTTTATTGAACAAATGAGGTTGCATTCTAAATCGCATTCGAAAATCAACATCAGAGTACAAAGAAGTTGGGATAAAATAATTTTCCGAAAGATTCTTACCCCGAGAATGCATATGTCTGTCCACATTCCGGCAGCGGCCGACTTGTGAACCACGGCGGCGACCTTGGTTCTCTTCATCTTGCAAAGCAATTGCTATGACAACTTGTTCATCGACTTGTCTCTGCAACTCATTGATTTCATCTGCTCTACGGTTTCTCTCATTTGTTTCTCGCTCTTGTCTCTCCAAGTATCTCCTAAAATCTTCTATTGAGATGAATGAAGTATGAATTCTAAACTTTGAGAAATGAAAATATAGAAAGATGTGGTATGAGTGGTATGAGATGGGCCTCTAGTTTTATAGAAAATTTTGGCAAGATAGACATGCAACGTGGCTTGATTTGATTGGATGAAAATCTTATCTGAAATTTGAACCCAAATTTATCTGAATTTTGAATTTTGAAATTCATCCGAAATATGAACCCAAAAATTTATCTGAAATTTGAATTTTGAAATTCATCCAAAATTTGAATCCAAAAATCTTATCCGGAAATTTTATCCGATTATGAATATTCTTGACACGTAGGAACCCGGAAATCTTGTCCGAAAATATTATCCAAATTAATTATTGAGGTAAAAAAATGTGTGAAATAAAAAAAATTAAAAAATGAATAGTAATTGCCTTAGCTATGGCAATGGATGGAAACAAAAAATACTATTTGCAAGGGCAACCACTATTCACGTGAATAGTGGCTGCCCTAGCTCCCCCCTTGCCATGGCTAAGGGCAAATGAGTGGAGTTGCTCTAAGTAGCTTCTCACTTCAGCATAGAGTGTTCTTCTTACAAAACAAAATATAGAAAAGGAATATTCAAATTTAATATATCTTTTCAATAAAACGTAAAGGTTAATATAGGTACTCTGTTTTGTGAAGCAGTTAGGCATGTTTATTTATTAGAAATCGGGATAAACATGAATCAGAGCATTCAGGAATCGAAGTCAAGCATTCCAATTAAGTTATTTACTAACTGCCATGAATTAGAATGAAAACAAAACGAATTCTCATTAAAACTATTTACTATTGTTAAGAATCAAAATCAATTTGATCACCAAAATGCCCTTGCAAAACAAATCCAATACCAAATTGTTCAACTACTTACACATTTTTTCAAATGATAAATTTTGTTGTTTTAAACAAAAAAAAAATACATGAGAAAAGTTCTCTATTTTTATTTCGTTGTTGTTCAAGTTCTTTAATTTTATTTTTTTCAAGTTCTGTAAAAATAATCATGTTTTATAAGTTTAATTCTTACTTCCTAGTATATCTAAATATATACAATTAAGTTAAATATATTTATGTTCAAAGAAAATGGCATAAACTTTTTTTTTCCCCCAAAATATATGACGGCAATTTGGGTAGAAAAATATCCATTCTGATTCATTCATGCCCAACAATACCATCTCTCCTATCTGAAATGCCATTGCCTCTATATTAGGAATCAAAGTCATGATTATATGTGGGCTCTGCATCACTTTTCATTCCCAACATGCAAGTAAACAGAGGAGTGGTCAGGAATGAGTCTTATTCCCTTTCTAGGTAAGTAAACATGCCTTTAATGAAGTCATTTGTTAAGAGTTGGGTTGGACTGGTACATGATATTTAATCTCAAATAATCAGTGGCAGAGCCATAATGGGGTCGCACGACCTCTTGGAAGCCATGGAATTAGGCTTGGAGGTCCTCCTGTACTGCACACCATATGCTAGATGGGATGTCTCTGCAACATCAACGTTGTGCTGCGTGCACTACGAATTTTTTTAATTTCAAATTCTCACGTGTTATTACGTTACTTATATAAGCAATAACACTGGGGGAATAATTGAATACCGCTTTTTTTTATTGGGGCCAGCTGCGCTTACCTTGCTTAGTCAGTGAAGAATAGACTAGTATATAAGATAAGGGCTAGTGCTAGAGGCGAGCCTTCTTTTTCATACGGGCGATTCGCTGAGCCTTAATTGCATGGGTAAAACAACGTCATTTTAGTCATGCAATTTTTAAAAATAACCTGGCCAAAACAATGCTGTTTTGGGCCAAGCCTTTAAAAAAATACCCAACATTTACCCCTCCAACCCATACCCGATAGTTAACCCTCCCGAACCCCTTTCCCCTAATTAGATTACTCTCCAACCCTAACCCCAATATAAACCCCCCACCCGATAGTTAACCCTCCCAAACCCCTTCCCTTAATTGATATATCCTCTATATTTTTAATGAAATTGATATCCTAAATTAATGTTCTAAGCCCTAGAAAATTATTAACGAATGGTTTGTCTAATTTGGGTAGTTCAAGTGCAAGAGCAAGATCGATTGAGTTAGAGGAGATATTGACAATTGTAGTTTGTATTGTTAGTTTTGCTATGAATTATGAATGGAAGTACTATATTGTTGTTTTTTAGTGTTATTTTTTTCTATAAAAAAATTCGACACTTTTACACCACGACCCTATGAGGTCACAATCCTCAATCCACCAATACATAAAACATAGGTTTTAACCGTCCGTAGTCTATCAAACAAATAAAATTGATACAATAAATGGTTCTAACCATCCAATATTTATATGGACACACAGCTATTGTTTCTCAAATTGTCTAAAAGAATAACCGTTGTTTAATGTCGCATGTTTTTTTATTTTCTTTTTATAGTTTGTAGGGTGGGTAGAGGAGAATAATTAAAGTAATTGCAATATTATACAAAGAATGTCGCTTATATTTCACTCTAATGTTTGTTTTACGCCTAATCTTTGTGGTCCCAAAACGGGTATGGGTTGGAGGGGGCAATGTTGTTTTACGCATTCTATTTGATTGATTTATTTATAATCTTGGAGCAGATAAGCTATATAATAATAATTTGTTATATGAAGTAGATACTACTGAATAAGTTGAGGTGGTGGTGCGGAATGAAGTTCTGTGTAGGAACAATGATATATAGCATTTGTATTATTTCTTTTTGCTGGCTGGAGTTACCAGTCTGACGGCATGAGTTATGAACACATACATATGCATGCTCCTTTCTTGATTTAATTATGAGATAATAAATCATTTTAATATAGTTAAGGAGTTTAAATGAGGTTGTCAACTATCTGCTTCTGTCTCCCGGCTTTGTGTAATGCACAAGAGACTCAATTTGACATACAATTTTTGTAAAAATAATTATTTATTTGTTTGCTCGGGACTTATTTTCCCTTTCCTTTTTGTTGGCCCCTAGCCCTAGTAGAAGAGTTTGGTCACCACCATCCAATAGGCCTATAATATTCACCATCGCACTTTAATCCAACTTCATAATTAAAAAAACTGAGGAGGAGACTTTAAGCAACAACAACTATCCAAGCAAAATATAATTTGTGGTGAATTGCTCCGAGACATGTCATGCTTACATTTGAGTTTCTCATCCACCAATCTTTATTATTAAGTCCTCAATTCAATTTTACTTCCAAAACTCTCCCTGAAAAATCAGGTGGGCCAATGTCATTGTACCTTGGGAAAAGTAAACAAGATGAGAAGCACGTTGTGCAGCCAACGACGTCGTTGTACTGTCTAACATAACTCAAATAGATTGTTTGGCAAGTCTGGTACAAGTACAGCCACGTAAGAAGCTACTATATCTCAAAAAGAAAGACAGAAGTTGACACGTGGTATCATCTTGTTTGATTTAAAAATAGGCAAATGTACGACAACAAAGATGATACCTTCCACTTTCCCTTGCAAGAAACGCCCAAAATCTGAAGATAAGCTCAACATTCAACATTTGCCACCATGACAGCTGACTGATCAGATTTGAGATACATCCATACGACTGCGTTTTGATCCTTGTAATTAAACACCCAACAGTCCCAAGAAGACCGATTCTTGACTTAAAACACCCCTTCCAACAAGTTTTCAATTTCCTCCAAAAGCAGTCCAGATTTGCGTTTATCAGAAGCAACCTTTGAATTTTCGTGGATTCACCTGTAAAAGTGGACCCCCTTTCATTTATCTTTTAAATAGCCGCCACCCCAGACTTGTCAAAGAGCTAATAATTAGCCGATCAGTGTCTCTCAATTCTCAACAAGGCAGGCTGAGGCAGATGGCGGTTTCTGATGCAGTGGCTGGGAACTTGACGACGATCTACGTGGCAGTGATCACGGGGATCAAGGCGTATGGGGTGGTGTTTGGTCAGAGCTTCAGTGGTGGCTTTGTGTTAATCGTGTCCACCATCGTGGTGTGCCTTATCCTGATTGCGACTCTGACGTGGGACGTGTCCCGTAAAGCCACGTATGCAATCCGGCGCGACCATTCTGTTCATGTCCACGACATGTGCAAGGGTGGTATTTGCTGGCATGGTGTCGCCGTCCAGTCGTCGGCTTCTGAGGTCCGGCTTAGGCTCCCGCACCAACTGAGCTACGGCTCGTCGTTAAATTGATAGCAGGAATCTTGAAGTGGGTAAAATATCTCTTTCTTGGTCGTTGTTGTGTTGATGTGTTGATGTGTTTGTTTATCTACGAACGACGTACATGGAGGGTTTTGCTTTTTGGATCGAGTGAGGAATATGATTGTGTATAAATAATTAATGCAGATAAGGTAATGCAATTGTGTGTTATACTTATAAATAAATATTGGGCTCACACTTCTCTCTTTAATTAACAGTTGATAACTGCAAGAGTTTGTTGTAAATTAAGCATAGTTTGTTTTCTCTCCAATAAACAAATAAATAAATGAACATATATTTGTCCCAACAAAATTACATTACTTCAAACATGACGGTGGCCATGGTTCCATTGTCTGGATGACATTGACCACGGCAGTTAATTATAGCATAGTCTACAAACAGCACCACGGCGTGGGCGCGCCGTAGTTAAATTAGTCACAGCCGACCATAATCAGATCTTCTTTTTCTCTTTTTCACTTTTCTACGACTGTTAAGATATAAGACTGTACTAATTTTTTTGTTAAAACAGGAACATATATATTCGCTGGTGAGTCAGTCTGGTGATGGCAAATCCTGTCCTGATCAACTCGGATTAGATGTAATCACGCCATGCTTCCATTCGATTTACTTCCCTGCTAGACAAAGTGGAAAGTTTTTCCAAAAAACAAAGCCGCTACTACTACTAGTTTTCCTCTCACATCTCGCCCTATTTATGTAACAAATCAAGGGTATTTTTCGAAGGAATGGCCTAATATTTTGTCAACAAAGAAAGAAAAACTAGTACAACCCAGGAACACCTATACTATTATTTGTTAGATGTGACATTATTAGAATTGGAAAATATAACTTTTGTGCACTAGCTAGGGGTGCAAGTTGGATTGGAAAATCCAATTCCAACCGATTTCGTTTTGAAATTTTCCGATTTTGACAAGTCCAAATCAATTCTGACATATGAAAGTTCTGAAATCCAAAAATTCCAATAAAAATTGGATTGAAATTGGAATGTATCTAGAGATTCCAACAAATTTCAAATTCCGAAATATATTGGGGTTTCAAGCTTGTACTACACACAATTACTAATTTTATGTTGAACTAAATATAATTTGATGACCAAATAAACATAGACAATTTATTTTATAAAGTATAACAATTTCTAAGTACTAACATATAATAGTTTTCCAAGCTTATGGTATGAGTTTTCAACTTTGAGTCAATTTGAATCCTTCAATGGTTGAGCATGTTTAGAATTTTGAACTAATTTCTGAAAATTTTCAAAAAAAATTTGAAATATTCCAAAAATTCAGAGTTTCCATAATTGGAATGGGTATTGAAACTCCGAAGTATTTTGAAACATAATTGGAATATAATTTTCGCTAAGATTTTTTTTTTGGAATGGAATTAGAATCTCCTAATTCCCATCCAATCTGTCAGAAAATCACCCCTAGCACTAGCTCACAATAAAAATTGAAGAAATTATATGCCAAATCTCGTTGGGTTGGACCAAAATGTAAAAAAATTTAAATTATTATATGTTGTAAAAAAAATTTTCCCAAGGTTGGGCTCGGCTATACAGCCTAGAGAAGGTAAGTGTTAATGTAGGGCCAGTTTGGGATTGTTGTCACTTAAAAAAAAAAAATTGCTTATGATGGTTTGAAAATAAATAATTATAAAGTAAAGTAGCTTTATGTTTAGTAAATAATATTTTTTAAGTGTTGTTAGTACAAAAATCACTCTAAAAACTGTTTGGTAAATTTTACTATAAAATTGTTGTAATTGCGAATAATAACTAAAATAGACATCATGTTGAAGTGTTAAACACTAATCATGTGGTGGTAGTGGTGGGGGTGGAGATGACGGTGGAGGTGGTGGTGGTGGCAGATGAGGATTTTGTGGTAGTGGCAGTGGCAGTTGAGGTGGTGTTGGTGGAGTTGGATGTGGAGGTGGAGGTGGTGTGACAAGACCCGTCCCGAATTTCCTCGGAATCCGGGACGAACCCCGCCTAATTACCGACATCAACCAAATGCCGGGCCCACTTAGTAGAGATTGAGACTTTCTACCAAAAATTTGGCAGAGTCTCCCCTGTAAATTGAACATTCCCAAACTTCAACCTGTTCAAAATTTACAGTTAATTACAACCAACTGGCAGCATGCTTTACAAGCAAACAAACACTTTACAACAAAGGCCTCCGGCCTCACAAAATTAAACCCTCAGTGGGCGATACAGAGCATAACTAAGGAATTCAAAATACAATCGAAGTACCGTTTAACTGAAAGGAAAAACAAAGCACCAAGAGTCTTTACGAAGACTCGAGTTCCAAGATGCACCCGGTCCGGCTCAACTGCAAAGCTCAGTCGCTACTGGCTGGGGGCGCAAAATAGAAAGTTGTGAGTGGACAAAAATCAAGTTCAGTTCAAAAGAAATCAAAGTAGTATAACCCCCACCTTTATAAAAACATACAATGAAACCATAAGCATAACAACCATCAGAAAAAGGTATATAAACATACACGAACATATATACCGGATCTCAAATCCGTAATCCGTGAATAATGCTTCACGAAACCCACCATTCAACTTAAGAGGCCCGAGAGATTAGACTCTCGTAAACGTACTCAAAAGTACGACCGGCGAGGAAATATCCTTACCGAAACATAGAACGAAAGAACATTCATATAAATAAATATATATCATATACATACATAATAATAATAATAATCATATGAGATAACATAATAATAATTATAATAATAATAATAGTAATAATAATAATAATAATAATAATAATAATAATAATAATAATAATAGTATATAAAGATAACCAATATTTGGGAAACAATCCAACCGGGGGACTGTTTGACTAGGCCACATGGCAGAGCCATTCCTCAATTCACCATGTGTCTAGGGAACGAGCCGTCCAACCGGGGGACTAACTCTCAGCCAGCACATACAGCCGACACAGTCAAAGCTTGTACGCCTGAAATACCAGTCCTACGCGCGCAGACTACCCCAAATCCAGGGTCCACAGCAACATCCCCTCAAGGATGCCCTGAGTTCTCATCATAACCAAATTCAGATCAGGGGAGGTACATAAATTAGTGCTTAACGCACTCCAAATAATAGATCCAACATTACCTCTCCATAGTTCATATTAACCTTAACCACCAAGTATCCCATGCATAGCCGCATGTAAACATAGCTTCTCAAAATTCAAATATCAATGTAAGTTTCATGAAAACCTCGAATTCCCATTCAAGCATATAAAAATAATTACTAGATATAATAAAACGATATGCCATATTTCTATGAATAAAATCATACTGAGTTTCAAAAGAAAAGTCCACTCACAAGTAATCCCACACAGCTTGACCCTTAGAGGGTCCCGCCTGTTGCGTATGCTGGGTCGGAGTACCTGATTCAGAATACGAAATTGCGATGAATATCAAGCACTTCAAAACAGAACTTGAAATAAAACCCTAGCTTCCCGAGAGTTCCTATAGGTTTTACGAGGTCTAGGATACACGTCCTGTAAGTTTGGTTCAGAACGGACGGTCGGATTGTTCACAATCTCACAATTGGACGGTTACTGAAACCCTCACCCTAGGGTTGGCATTTCCGGAGTGTCCGGGACTCCGTTTTACGATCCGTCGAACCCTACACAATCTTACGATTATCCAGAGGAACATACTTAAATTGGAAAACGATCCAACGGTCAGAACATATCGAACCCGAATAACGCACAATATGCGATAATTCGTTCGATAGTCAAACGACCTCGGAATCGAGATCCGTGAAAACCTATGCGCTCGTGACAACGTAAGGATCACATTGGAACAGTTTGCAGCTCCACCACACTTGCCCACGCGCCACCACACGCGCCGGCAGCAAGCGGGTGTGCAGAGAAATTCCGGCGACGGAAAATCTCCAAGTCACAAGTCACCCTCCCGGCTACAGGTCCTACTCAATTAGGGGAACACTTCATTCAACTACGGCGAAGCCCAAAACCACCGGGAACTGGCCGGAATTTCGAATTGAAAACCGGCCAAAACCCTAAGTCGAAAATCACTTCCAAAACCTCAAAATCATTTCAATCCTAAGCAACAGGCAGCTAGAACAGATAAAACGAAGGAGAAATCCCACCAATTTTACCTGAAATGGACGGCGGAGGCGGCGGCGCAACGATCGGAAAACCTCCGATTCGAACCAGTCGCCACAGTTGGCGGTTCTCGAGCTCGACGGTCGGGATTTTGGGTGGGTCAGGTCCGGGACTTCCCTACGAGTCGAACGGAACCGGTCTCGGGGGCTGGGGTGGCCGGAGGTGATGGCGGCGTGGAAAATTCTGTTCGGGTGAACAGTGACGAGAGAGAGAGAGTTCGCGGGAGAGAGAGAGCGCACGGGAGAGAGAGAGAGGAAAGTGAACCAAAAATGGAAAAATCTGATTTGTTTTACAAATACCCTTTTCGACTTATTTACACTTTTGCCACCGAAGGAAAATTTCATCGCTAACACTTCGTTATAACTCCGATTCAAGCCTACCGCCTGTCTACGAATTCATCGCAGAACCACTTACACAACTAAACCACTTGTGGTCCCAAAATCCTTCCGGACAAGAAAATGACCAAAATACCCTACCCCAAGGGTAGTTTCGTAATTGTACAGTTAATTTAATTTTAACCGTTTAAATCCAGTCGGGGTGTTACATGGTGTCATTTTGGGAATTAAAAAATTCATTAAAGGCTCATTTATGTTTATTTTGAAAAGCAACTAAGAGCTTGCTTTTAAAATATGCTATCAAAAGGCTACTGCTTTTAAAATAATGGAGATATTTTATTTTTACTAAATATCTTAAACTGCTTAACTTTAAAGCGAAGCATGTTTTGGGCCAAAAAAAGCAATGTTGAACAGGGTCGTAATTCTACCTTTGCATAAAAAAGAAAAAAAAAGGGTTCAAATGTGGTTCAAATGAGGTCAAAGGCGAAGCATGTTTTTTACCACTAAAAATTGTTAATTTGGTATTGAATTCACTTTTATTAATTTTCATTGGTTTGTTGTTATTATAAATTTTTTATAGAACATACATTTTTTATTGCTAAAATCATATATTTTGCGTATTCTTTATGCTGAGGGAGGGGATGATATAATTAGGTTGTTGTTGTTTTTTTTTTTTTTTTTGGATCAAAGAATGAACATTTTAGGGTTTGTTGGTTTGTTTACTATGTTACAACTTACACTCACTCATCTTATTGAAAAACCCTTTCTCTAATTTTTATTTTTTTGGGGTCAAATTCCATTTCTCTCTTATTAGTCATTGCATTTACGGTACCAACCACCTTCTACGCCCATATAGACCGCTAATTGTTTTGTCCTAAAAACTTTTTTGGGTCGAACATTATTGTCCAATTTACATCATCAAATTACACCCCATCCAACGGCTCAAAACGCAAGGCAAGCAACCACCCAGAAACACCAAAGCGTTTCCCGCACACAATTGACACTCTCGGCGTACAGGTCCTCAAGAATCTAATCTGCAACCCCCACTTTCTCCGCTCCTTCTTCTTTCGTTTGTCGTACAAGGTCTTTCTTGGCCGTATCGGACATCTTCAAAACCGACACGCAATGGCTGAAACTCCATCTCAGTCGCCACCACGATCTGTGCCGGAGGCGGAGACGGAGACGCTGCAGTACTGGTGCTACCACTGCAACAAACGCGTGTCCATCGAAACCCTTGCCAATCTGCCGGACATCATCTGCCACGAGTGCAAGAACGGGTTCGTCGAGTCGATCCCGGCCGTGTCGTATGAATCAACGGATCAGGTTGACGACCCGATTTTCTTCCGCCAAGTGCTCCGTTTAATCACTCAAGCGGCGCGTGAAGAGGACGCTCCACCACCGCTGCCACAAAATCCTTTGCCCGAGGATGATTTCTTCAGGATTGAGATGGACGGGTGGGACAACGACGAGGACGAAGACGATGCGCACAGTGTTGAGTTTCACAACCAAGGAGGTGAGGAAAACGAAGAAGCCGGAGAGGAAGTAGAAGACGAAGAAGATAGATCGGATAACGAGGATGAAGAGAACCAGGAGGATCAGCTAGAGACCGATGAACAAGACGTGAGACGACGTCGTCGCGATGTGCTTCGTCTCCGCATCCAAGACATTGCGACCCGAGCAAGTTCCGGGAGGAACCGAATTCTGGACTGGGCTGAGATCTTGATGGGACTGGAGGACAACTCGATCGAGTTCCGGCTTGAGGTACCCGAATCGGACCGATATATCGGCAATCCCGAGGATTACGTGGACGCAGCTGGCTATGAGGCTTTGTTGCAGACCTTGGCTGAGAGTGATAACGCTGGAAGGAGAGGGGCTCCACCGGCGTCCAAAAACGCAGTATCTGAGTTACCGACGGTCAAAATTGCGTCGGAGGATGAGGCCTTAGTGTGCGCCATATGCAAGGATATGGTGAATGTTGGTGAAGTGTCGAAGAAGCTGCCATGTGGGCATGGGTACCACGATGATTGCATTGTGCCTTGGCTGAGTTCCAGGAATTCTTGCCCGGTTTGCCGGTTCGAGCTGCCCACCGATGACCCTGAATACGAGGAGCAGAGGCAGAAGCAAACTGTGACTATCAGTGCAGCGGGAGCTTCCGGTTCAGGTGGAGATAATTCGGTCTCCCATTGATTCGAATCGGTATCAGTGTTTGTGCTATTACAACCCTCCTCCCCTTGTCATTTTTCCTTTTTCTTTTTGTATTTGTAATTTATTTACTTGCGTTTGTTTGTTTATTAGTTTAGTAGACGATTCTAAGAAGAAATTGAGATCTGTTTTCATTTTTTTCGATTTTCTTCTGGATGTAAATAATAATTTAACTCAATTTGCTGGTGGTATTTGCTCATGTTTAATTTTCTATGTCTGATCATATATGCTACAATATACAAGGACTGCTTCTTTCTCTTTAAGTTGTTATTTTGTGCTTGAAAGAGTATTAAGTTCGGACTTACTGTTTGCCCAAAATCGTCTTGTTTAAACCCGTTGTTTTTGTTTCTCTGATTCAGAGACACTGCAAGCTGCAATTTTCTGATTCTGTGCTTTCCACAGTTGTAATGCATCTCTGGAAGTGTATGGTCTAGCTAGAGTCTTGAAAATGGATGAAATTAATTTGATTAGTAAATTTGTGTTTTACTTGGATATGTATCGCCCCTCTTTGTCATGAGAGCATGTTTTGTGTGTGGCGGGACCTCTTTTAAAAAAATGTGATAATGGTACCTTTTTTATATAGATGGATGCAAGGAAGGGCTGTCAGGTAAAGAAATGCTTTGCTGCTGAGTTGTGCTTAGGAGTTTGATTATGAATTGGCAAAATCCAATTGATATGATCTGCTTTATTGTGTTTTGGTTGTGTGCTTTGCTCTGCTATGCAGTTAGCTATCTAGGCATTTTCCATGTATCTAATGTACTGATTAACCCTGAAATTGAAATTTGAATTAGAGTGTTACCAGTAAACTGCTTCCGCATTTCTGTTCAGAATCAAATGGCATTTACCATTTGTTTTCAAATAAAGCAAGGCTGCTATTTCCTTATTTGGTAAGCATAAACTTCTTGTAATAAGTCTTTATTCTCTGTGCATTTGGTCATCATAATATAAACGCCAACAGAAAAATATTATACAAGCTGAAGAACAATCGACTATATCTTTAGAATTTTGAATCGTCTGACTCAAATGATATCGAGCCAAAATGTAAAGGGATGAGATACTGCAACAATTGATGTCTGATATGTGAATGCCTGAAGTCAGTCCAGCTAGACTGACAAATTGGTGGAAGAGGTTGCCCCTTAAGGTGAACCTTCCAATTGGAGCATCCACTTGACTTCTTTGAATCACGAAGTTAACTAAAAGGCATGTCTTGGAGTTTATAGCAGTCGGGGAAGTTCTGTTAGTAGCTAATTGGCAGGCCGAGAGCATGTTTTGTTAGTTTGCTTGTTTGCCAAAGACTCGTTAGTAATTGCAATGTCATTTTAGAATGTGCTTGAATTTTGTTTTGATGAGGTGAATTAATCGTCAGTTTTGTTATTGATAGAAGGTTAAACTGCTGATCATCAGTATAAACGATGGTAGTATTTTCAACTAGGGTTCATCCTGCCTTGCACCCACTGTATTTTGAAAGAAGCACAATTCATACAATTGATCGTTTAATTGACTGACGCTATCACTTCAATCCTGCAGTTTTCTTTTGCAAAATCACCGATGCAAATTATATTTGGGCACATTGAGTTGGGTGAGAAACACTATAGCTTTCACTTAAAATTAAGATTTTTCGGGGAAGGTCACCCGTCGGAGTTGGATTGGAAGTTATCCCGTCTTTTTCTTTCGGAATACTTCACCTCAGGCTCAAGTTGATTTGGTCCAATAGGAAGCAGCGAGGAAAGTTTCTACTTACACATATATAATGCAACCAAAGTCTTCTTTGTACCACATACATAGCATCGAATTCGACGCCACTCCACGCCGGGTTTTTAAAAAAAACAAAAAAAAAAAAAAAAAACAAAAACAATTTTATGAGGATTTAAGGTTCAACATTTTGGTTCGTAATAAAACTGTTTCGTCAAAATTTCCTTACATTTTAGATAAAATGCAGCTTGATGAATTAATCATTTTTCAAACCGGAAAAAAGGAAAAGAATCACTTTAATGCCTAAATGACATTGCAATTGAGAGGCCATATGATATATATAAACTTCTTCTTGCTTGGACCAAATAGCTAAAGAGAAAGTCCGAGTCATTTTATAGCGAGAGCTTTATATGGTCTTTAGATGAGGTCATATTTCTTAATCGTTAGATCTGATTAATAAATTTGATCCAACGACTAACTGATTTGACCAAACCCACGCCTACAATAAAATTCTTGCTTCCACTTCAGCCCTTCTTACTTCCACTTCACCACGTCGTCGTTTGGATTGTATTGCCTACCTTCTCTAAAACCCTAAGCCATATCCATAAACCCTAAGCCTCAACTCATCCCTGACCCCGCATTAGTTCTCCACTACAATGGCTCCGAGTTTCGTATTCGAGCCCCCAAGCGACGAAGAATATTCCGATGCCGAAGAAGAAGAACAGCAAGAAGAACAACAGGAGGAAGAAGAAGATGAACAACAAGAAGGTGTAAAACCCCCGCGACCTCGCCATTCTCAATCCCCATGGGACTTTGCTGCGTACTCCGAAACAGTTGCCGAAGAACATGCTCGTCGAAGCACCACCTCCGTCGATTTCAAGATCTCCAAAGCCCTGCAACAACGATCCGTCCCAATCTCAGACCCCATTTCCGACGACGGTACTAGCTCCGGATCCGAGTCCGACAAACAGGTACCAGCTAACACTTCTATTTCTTTTGATTACTGAAACTCTTTCAATAAATTCAATTATATAATTTTTTTGAAATGAATCTTGTTTGGTGTTGGTTATTTAGGAAGATTATAAGCCAGAAGATGATGAAGGCGATGATGCCACTAATGTCAGTGACAGTAAGTCATTTTTCTCTCCCTCAGACGGAGCGTCGTTTAATGCAAATTCGTTTATGGAGCTCAATTTGTCACGTCCTTTGCTTCGGGCGTGTGAGAAGTTGGGCTATACCAAGCCGACTCCAATTCAGGTCTCCAATCCTATTTCGCTAACAATTCATTACTTGTTACTTTCGTAATTTCATACACATCGTTTGAGTTTACTGAATTTTTGGGTTTTGTATGTAGGCAGCGTGCATACCGTTAGCTCTGACCGGGCGTGATATATGTGGGAGTGCAATTACTGGTTCTGGGAAGGTAAACCAGTTCTCCTTTCAGTAAAGTAACTATTACAGTTAGGGTTAGGGATTGTGTTAGTCGCGGTAGTTGTGACGAAATTGTCTTAGTTCATGCAATGACTGATCTTCCTATTTCATCTCAATCTGTTAATGCCTTTGTTCCTGGAATATTTTCACAGACCGCTGCCTTTGCCTTACCTACTCTGGAGAGACTATTGTTTCGCCCGAAGCGGGTACCAGCTATAAGAGTCCTTGTTCTGACCCCAGCCAGAGAACTGGCAGTTCAGTATGTGTTATTTCTGTCCTTGGTTATTTTATTAAAAAGTTATATATATTTATCCACCTTTTCTCCTATTTGGTGCGGATTACGTTGTAAATGGAATTGGTTGACAAATTGGTAGAAATTTAAGTATGAGCTAGTCAATCTAATACTTACTATAATATTGTATTTTGTCTTATATTGGTTGTTCAGACAAGATTGCTTGCTTTTTGAGGAGTTCCCTCTGTAAAGCATCATATAATTTTTCTCCTTTGGTCTTGCCTTGTTAGTTTCGATCTAATTTCTGGTCATGGTTTCAGGGTTCATAGTATGATCGAGAAACTTGCCCAGTTTACCGATATCAGATGTTGCCTGGTTGTTGGAGGGTTATCATTAAAGGTTTGATTTGCATTCATTTCTTAATGCCTTAATCGTCATATTCCTGGTTTGAGGTTGGATTGCTTGCATCAACTGTAGTAGGTCAAATATTTGTACTCAAATATGACGACCTTGTAGTAAGCGCAAAAACCACATTGTACCTCTGAATGGAAAAAATTTACATATTATATGAAAGTGAATGAAATGATGATCCACATGAAGTGCATCTGCCCATGGTGAGCATTACATAATGCTTGCCTACGAAATGTTTTTTTAATTGCTCTTTAGCTCATCTGTTTTTTTTCCCTTTCACAAAAATATTGAAGTAATTCCATGTTTTATCAGGCACAAGAGGCGGCCTTGAGATCAATGCCAGATATCGTTGTGGCTACACCTGGACGCATTATAGATCATTTACGTAATTCTATGTCTGTGGATTTGGAAGATCTCGCTGTTCTAATTCTTGATGAGGCAGATCGCCTTTTGGAGGTTGGATTTAGTGCTGAGATTCGTGAGCTGGTATCCCCTTGCCTCTTTCTTAAAAAGTAGAATGTGCTGTTTTGTCTTACAATTTTTTTAAATTATTAAACAATTTCTAATCATTAGTGTATATGCAGATTCGTGTATGCCCCAAAAGGAGACAAACCATGCTATTTTCAGCTACGATGACTGAAGAAGTTGATGAACTTGTCAAACTTTCTCTGACCAAACCAGTACGCCTCTCAGCTGACCCTTCTGCGAAACGTCCAGTGACACTAACTGAGGAGTAATTCATTTATACTCAATATTCCAATTTGCTCTGATCAATATTTTTTTTAACTGTTGCACCATTTGACTCTATAATTCAGTCATGAGTACATGTATGTTGAAAAACGTGTTTGTGTATGAGTTATGTCATATTTTTGTCTGCATCATTTTGACTGTCATGTAGGGTGGTTAGAATACGACGAATGCGTGAAGTAAATCAGGAAGCAGTTCTACTTGCATTGTGTTCAAAGACATTCACTTCCAGAGTGATCATATTCAGGTTTGTAGTATATGTGTAAATCGCTATTGTCTTCATACTTCATAGTAAGCAATTGCCTTTAAGCTCCCTTCCTCTTGTCTTCTAATATCTTTTGTTAATTTTGTATTTTCTTTGCAGTGGTACAAAACAGGCAGCACACAGGTTGAAGATATTATTTGGGTTAGCTGGCTTTAAAGCTGCTGAGCTTCATGGCAACCTTACTCAAGTTCAGCGCCTAGATGTTAG